CGGGGCGTGAGAGACTGTCTTTTACAATGAAAAAACAGATAGGAAGCACGATTTTATCAGAAATTGTATCGGACAAATAAAACCAAAATGAAATAACATTAATGTGTAGGCCGACAATTATTCCAATACTTCCGATGTATCATGATGGAAACTTAAACAAAAGTTTCCTTATTTTAGTTCTTATGGAGGGAAATTCAGACGTGTGTTATACGGGGGAGGGGGAGGAAAGAGGCAGTTACTGAGAAATAGGAAAACAGCAAAACATAGTTTATGGACAGATCCCTCTGGTTGTAAGAATTTTGAACTTTGAAAGTTGACCAATAACTCAGGTTTGTTTTTGTTTTACATTAGAGCTAAACCGAATAAAAAATTGAACTGATTTGTTGATTTGGAAAATTTTCATCAGACATTCCCTGTTCTGTCTAGGGAACGTTATTGCACTGTCATAGTGCTGTAGCAACAGTATCAGAAAGGTACATTGAAACACACACCCATGAGTGCTTTCAAAACGCAGATGGTAGCAACTAAAAGCATGCAAACAAAAATACACTGATTCTTCAGAGAATGGTTAGTAAAGCTACAGTTGATCCAAGAATGAGAACAGAAATAAAATCTTACTCACGTTGAACTGAGTTCCAGGAAATCCAGTCCACGCTTCCTATCTTGGATCTGTTTTTTCCTAAATGAGTCCACGGTGAGAGGGGTTGAATGATGCGCTGGCGGGGAGGATATACTTGGGGATGCTTGCGGAGATTTAAGGCTGGGAGGTTCCTCCGAGGTGGGGCTGAACAGTCCACCAAAGCTGAAAAGCCACATTCAAAAGCATTAAGTTAATATTCAGTGCTTTCTCTCTCTTGATGATTTGTCAATGAGCCAAACGATTTTTACTGTAACTAACAGAAGAAATTCAAGGTACCAGATGGTTCCTTTGTTGCAGAGAAATTGAGGGAAAGGGTGTCGTTATAGAGAGAGTACTGTAATGTATGATGAAATAAGTTTTTAAGCTTACCATTATTTGAGTTAATGTGCAACATCAAGTTGCCCGATTGTCTCAATACTCAGTCATGATACATTGGCCAATGAAAGCAAGAAACTTTCATATCCCAAATATAATTTCGGGGAGTCCGATTGCAAAAAAATATCATTTATACCCAAATTACTAAAATGCCCAAATTTTTGCAAATTAACAAAATAGTTAGTCCCACAGCCTCTCAACTTCTTAGGATTTTATGGAAGTAGAAATCATAATCATACTTACAATTTCCATATAGACTGTTTATTTTTCTTATCCATTTGACCAGAGGTATTTTTGCTTGCACGCACTAACTCAGACCATTTCATTGCCTCCTGTAGTTCCATATATTTCTCCTTAAACTGATTTCTTTCTGTAAGTACTCGCGCCATCTCAACCCTAGTGAATCTTTTCCGTTGAGCCATTGGTACATCCTCCTGGGACAAACGAATAAAGAGAACATCAGGAAAAGTACCTTGCATGAGTAGAGCAAACCATACTTTTCGAGATCCTTAAAAAAATAAAAAATAAACATTTTCAAGATTTTCCAAGACTGCTGAATTTTACAGCAGCCTACCTTTTGTCCAATATTTCTGCCTCCTAAATGACTCCTTGTTCAAAACTCACTGTGGATGACCTTGGCATTCTGACACACAATAACAAATAAAGATTGCCTGAAGAAAAAAATGAGATCAGAGAAAACAGATGTCACAATGTGACACAGCAAGTGTACAATCAAAATAAAATGAATATGAAGGACTTAGATGTCTGCTACAGAGTAACACTGACAGCACTACGCACTTTGGTTCATTCGCTTGGCAGCTGCCAATCAGTGAAATTTTTGCTTGGAGTTTGTGTTAAAGGGCAATACTCATGCATAGTACACGCCCTTATTTTGTGAATTGTATTTTAGAAAGGAAAGGGTGATAAATACAGTATTTGTGAGGATAATCATTCTGTATCTTTGGGGCTCTTTCACAATTTTTTTGAAATTATTTCAGAAAATACGTGGGAAAAAAATGGGACACCTACATTTTGTCATTTTTCATAAAATCAAATATTAGCTAAGAAAATTACTTTCAACGACGATAAAAATCTAATCCTATTTCAAACAGGAAAAAATTGCACCAACAGATTTTGTGTAAATGAAGAATTGACAGCTGTGTATCCTTTCACTCGGATTTGTTCATTAACTGTTGCAATTTTAACATGGGTTTCGTATCCCGACTACGCTTATATGGCATCACTATTTTAAATGAGAAAAGTTCTGCAGACCCTTTGAGATTATGAAGTAAATGAAGGTACTGATCATTTAGGACATTAAGGGGTACTACTGTTTTAAGTTCCAGTTAGCAAAAATATTTTACTTACATCATCTTCTGCTTTATTAGCGTTTGCTAGCCGTTCTGCTTCTTCTCTAACTTTCCTGAGTTCATCTTCTAATTGACTAACTTTACGTTTCAGTTTTGATTTCTCTGTAGTAAGGGACTTGACAGTTTCACGCAGAATTTCCTGTTCACTAAAAGAAAAAGAAAAAATCTATTACTCTAGGGTTTGAAAATTGCTGGTTTTAATGCAAAAAAAAAAAAAAAAAAAAAAAAAAAAAAAAAATAATACATATAAGACGTGGCCCGACTAAAAACTTGGGTTAAATTGATTTATCCATATTCAGCAGCAAGTGATGCCACAATGGTGGATAAAACTGATTTAAGCTTTGATAATTATTTCTATCATTTCAATTTAAACCTTCTGTCGCAACTTCCTTGCCAAACGAACTTTAGAATGTGATAGGAACCCAATAAAACCAGGGATACATTGTAGCTTCTAAGCGTTTCACCCTATCTACCTCCAAGGTTTATCTATTACCAAAATGTTTTGAGTCAAAGAACCCAGGAAACACCAGTCCAGCTGTTCCTATTTTAGTTCTGTGACCTCTTTCTTATGAGGTGTTCTTTGATATTCTCCTTTAGTTCTTTTTCTTTATTTTTCAAAATAGCAATTTTTATGTGAAAAATGAGGCTCAGAAACAGAGACAATACAACAATTTAGAGACCCTGCACTCCCAGTCTAAGCAGAGTAACTGGCTGAGGTATGAGTTGAGTTCACAGATCAATGCTGTTTTTCGTCTAATTGGAACCTTTCCTTCCCGGATATAAGAAGGCCCATCAAAAAGGTTGGAGATGAAAAAAGAACAATCGGATGTTGGTGGTACAGGCGAACATAGAACAGGACAAGACTGACGAGCGACTCCGGACACAACAGAGAAATACACATAAAAAGAAAATAAAAGAACAGCAACTAGAACTGGGGTGACGGGTTTAGCCCCCCGTCAAGGCATACTAAGTTTTACACTTACATTTTGGAGGAAAAAAAAGGAAGAACCGTGGTGAAACGACAGACTGAAAACAGGCGAGCGAAAGGAACGAACTCGAATAACCGAAAAAAAGAGGGGGGAGCCAAGTAGTGCTAGTAGCCGCCACGCGACCACTAGCGCTACTTGGCGGGCTAAAATTTTTGAAAAAGAAGGGGTAGGGGGAACACCCCGTTACATAATGATGATTGATGCACGACTTATTGAGCATATAATTCATGCATTGATTTATAACACAATCTAGACCGCACACTAGGCCTGACTTTAGGCGAGGGAGGTAAGACAGCCAGGGGGGTAAATCAAGGTAAAGATGCACTTTCAGCTTTGTTGATACAGCTGGATATGCAAAGCATACCAGGCAACAGCACTGGCAAGACTGGCATTTCCATTGTCTCCGTATGTATTGCGATTCAGGTTGCCTATCGTCTAGCCGAAATTTCCTAATGCGCGGTCTAGATTGTATGAAACGTCAATGAATTCATATCAATGGCAATCATTGTCATCTGTAAAATCGCATTCAGAGGTACATGATTTTACGGTGTCACCAATAAAATACATCAGTTTCCTGAATGTTTAGATAGAACTTCACAGTTTTTTTTGTTGTGGAAAATGCTGGTAATATCAGCAATAGCATGAGCTTTTTGAAATTGAGCAGCAGCTTCAATGAGGAAGAAACTTCTAAGCAAATCACTTCTTGCGTAGTATTTTATCTCTAGCTAATGTTCCAAAAAGTTCCTCTCTTATTTTTTATGTTTTACAAAAAGCTTGACTCCAAGCACAAATGGACTTGATAGGACATTTTAGTGACAAACACCTTGTTAGTAATGTCATAAAAAAAACAGCTTTAAAAATTACCTGGTAAGCTCATCCACTTTGGCAATGAGATCATCTTTGACTATGTTGAGTGCGTTTCTATAAAATACAAGAGAAAGTAATAGTGATTAGAGAATTTGAAATGAGAATTCGCTAGCAGGTAGCTCAGAGAAAAAAAGCAATTTTTAAATTTATTTTACAGGATGTCTATTCTAAACCAGAGAACCGGTATCAATTTAAAAGACTGAGGAATAAAATACATTTTATGAGGTAAATTTTTCACTGGGACAAATGATTCATTGATATTGTTCTTAGGTTGTTATCAGATTTGCAGTACTTTGAAAACTCCATATTTCATCTCATTGCTTCACCTAATGATAATGAGATAATATTTCAGTAAATAAGATAAAAGTAAAAAAATAATAAAAGCTCTTTCTTCACTCTTCACGAATAACTCAGACTTTAAGGCAAAAATACAAGTAAAAAAAGACAAGGATTGGAGATGCTAGAATTTCTAACTGGGAGATGTACAGTTCAAGTACTTTAGAAATGCGATTCACAATCAGGATTATATAAAGGTCTTTTTGTGTAGAAAGATCAGGATAAAGAATGCTACCTTTCTCTATTCATGAGTAATTTTTATGCAGGCATTAGTACTTTGAAGATCCCTGGGAGTGAAATATAGAGACAGGAGCATTTAGAAAGCAAAATAAAAAAATTATCATGAGCTTGACAAAACTTACTTCGTTGCGAGGAGTTCATTATTCTCTGTTATCAAATTCTCTATTTCTTTTCCCATTCCTGTAAAACACAAATATTATAATAGGATGAACATTATTTTTTTTTAAGAAACAGCGAAAGTAAAAACGCTTCATTTAAAAAAAAATTCTAGGTAAAAACCTCTAGACAAAAGTGATACAGTGGAAATCAGATACAACGACCTTATAGGGACCTGCCAAATTTGGCTGTTATATCCGATTGTCACTACAACCGATACTCAAGTACATTGAATAAATGGGATCTCAGCCGCCGGCCTGTCCACATTGTTGGTCGTTATAACCGATAAGTCGTTATACGCAATGTCGTAATATCCGATTCCCACTGTACCACAATTTATTTTGCATACATTCATTAATCTGTCAGCATATCTGTATATGTATTCAGATTTTATATGCAAACTAATGGGAAGTACAAAACAAGTTATTCACTGCATAAAACCATTTCAGTGTCTCAACATCACCTCTGTGAAAACATTGAAGAGGCAATTGTTTGATAGCCGTGAAAAAACTGAAGGACAGTTTTGAATTGTCACACAAGTTATAGACTTAAGGTTAGGAGACCAGTGCATGACATTAAAAATTATCTGCTGACTGACTACACAACTGGAGACATAAATTAAGATAATGTGTTACAAGCAAGGGAGTAGATATCTCTAAAGATTACTGATGGTCTAATATCAAACTGAGGGAACAAACTTTACAATTAGGAAACATATTGTGAGTCAGTTTTAAAAAGTGACTGGAACCTTAGAGGTTAGTACATACTGCTTTTGGTCAAATTTAGTTCATGAAACTTCTCCTTAAAAGAGAGGGTTTGAGATATTCATCATTTTTTGTGTTGATATTGGTTGTGATTTTGATGTTCGAAAACACTAAAACATTCTATGGCACTAAGAGAGGGTAAACCCTCAGCAAACACTTGATATTTTGTGAGGGTCTGGTTAAGAGTAGGACAAAATTTGGTCATAACGAAGATATGCATGAACACAGAGCAGTAGAGATGGGGATACAGTTTGAATAAAGAATTAAATGATTTATTTATTGGAAATAATGGTTTATGATATGAGAATGAAACTTATCTTAAAAACAAAGTATGGACTCTTCGCGAATCCACACAACTTTTAGTTACCATCAAAATCGATTAAAAAATTTGTGTAAAATTTCCTTCTTAAATAAAAGGTGCAAATTCTTTTTTTTAATATGTACATAGACACGCCTTAAATTTTAAAACTGTAGTATTCAGAATTTTCCTCCATTTCTAATCGGGCATTGAATTACTTTTGCTGGGTATAATCTCTTTACTTAGAACAAGAGTTGAGCTTCTTTTAATTAAAATGGCATTCGTAATATGAATAGATCTTACCGAAGAAAGCATCATTCACTGTTATGTAACATGAATGTAAGAGGAGCAGCAAACGGGAGTAAAAATAAAACAGAAAAACAAACATTGTTATTGAAAAAGCACAAACAAGAAAGACACAATGCAATTATTTTATGATGTAGTGTTATCTTGACGATATAATATTCTTGATAATATGTCAAGAGCGATTTTTGAAGACTTTGATATTTTTATTTAGAGCTTTCCTTGATTAACAGATATCTGGATTTTCAAAAATTGAAGTTAGCTATACACTAGTAATTTGGGTTAAGATAGAGACCCTATGCGTTCCCTGCAAAATGTTATGTGGAATTGTAAGTAGAATGCTGTTTAAAAAAATTGTTACTTCCAGAAACACTTCAACGAGAAATCACTGGCCATGACTTAAAAAAAGAAGATTGTTTCCAGGCAAACATTATTACAATAAATGTTTTAACGAGATACCACTTTAAATTTTTATTTTATGCTATATAAATGTAGATTTAGGTATTGCTGGGGCATAAAAAAAGCATTATGATAATGCATCATACTAGCCCCTTGAATATGCCACAGAGATACTTAGTAATTCTGTTGGGTCTAAAAAGAGTTAAGCAACAAAACGGCTAGATTTCTGCCCTTAATTTCGCAGCGATATTACTTTGATTTTTCAAATGAGAACTATGGAAAAAAAATAAAGAAAAAAAATTGCTTCCTAATTTTTTAAAAGATATTCCACTTGCTGGAAAAAATTTTGTGAGAAATTGTATTTATTTGTTGGAGGAATTTCAACTAATATCTAAAAACTTATCAAAAAGATTCTCACCTGATGATGGTTGAGTTTCACTCTCGCTTTCAAATTCTTCTTAAATTGACATGCAACAAACACGAGAAACATGCAATTTTGAGGAAAGAAAAAAAAAACAACAAAAAAGCAATAAAATAATTAAAAAATATTAAAAGAAATTATGCCGGAGAAAAAAAGTAAATGAATTACTGAATTAGATAAATAAATAAAATAGCATAAAACATAAATTAATCAAACAGAGAAAAATATAAAACTACAAATGCTTAGCTCAAAATTGAGAGAGGGTTCAAATAGATGGCGATAGATTGCTTTCTGGTTTTAAAGCAGGATCCTCTATGGTTAAAAATATTCTCAGTTGAACTTAACCAGGGACTTTGATGACACATTTCAATATGTATTGCAATTAATAAACAAAACTCAAATTTAAAAGAATCCAGGAAATACTTAAAATAAAATGTAGCACAGGGAGAGGCACCTGGTGCAGATTGCAGTGACTTAGAGGACTATGATAAGTAAGAAAAACCAACATTGGTCATTTTTGGAAGACCATCTTAAAAAAGATTGGCTACAATCACTCAACTGAAAACTTTTCAATTGTTACTCTGAATTTAAGTCGTTCTTGTATGACTCAATTTGTTTCCATACTTCTCTCAGAAGCTTTACCTCCCTCCTTTACAGTGGCATATACTGAAATTTTGTTTCTCACTTGCACATTACCTGGATGCCCTTTGGATCCACAGGTAAGACAAAAGGTAAGGCAAGCTGCAGTTTGCCGTATCTGCTCTTGTCGCACCTGTGATTCAAAGGGCAGCCAGGTAGTGTGCGCGTGAGAAGCAAAATTTCATCGCACACCCCTGCACTTTACTGATATTACAAATCACAGGAAAAAAATAAAAAAAGTATGAGACAGTACATACTAAATTTTTAACGTTGTGAAAGCTGCAATGGCAAAAAAAGCCTGAGAATAACCAAATGAAATTATAAAAACTTCTAAAGAGCAAAATATTAAACGACAAAAAAAAAAAGACAAAAAAACAAAAAAGAATTGTACGCTAATTGAACTGTACCAGGTATGTCAGCACCATCATCAACTTCTTTCAGTATTTCTGCATCTTGAAAACTAAGTTCTTGGTACAGAGTATTACCAACTCTCTTTTCACTGTTAGGAAAAAATTCAAACGATAAGAAATTAACTGGATTGAAAAAGAGACACATGTACAGTAAAACCTGATCATGGCTGTAAACTGCTTTTGACGAGACGTTTTTCCATGGATTTTCTGTGACAAATGCATGTAAGTGAACCTGCTCATGATGAGAACATGCAATTAATGGAGTCCTTTTTTTCTTCTTCTTCTCAGAGATTTTTTCCAAAAAAGTTTAATAAGATGACTACAGTCCACCCAAAATTCCCGGAAAGTTCTGGTGCAGATTTCACTTGTCACTGATTGATGGGATCAAAGTAAAATAAATAGTGATGAATACTAAAGCCATGAATGATGTCCTCAACCATGCTCGTTAAGCAACGACATCTCCGCCAATATGAGACAGAGTAATTTATTGATTATTTAAAGCTATTTTTCCATTGATTCAGAGGATGCAACTGTCAAAACGTGATATTGTGATACATGTAATGAATGATTCATGGTTTTTGAACTTGTATCATTCTTTGAACTCTTTGGGTAACCGAAATTAGACTGCTGAAAGAGGGTTCAAAGTGAAAATACCTCTGTGTTGTGGTGCGTCCGCCTGGTGTTGAGGGAGTTTTAGTTGGAGGGGGCGAGTCTTCTGATATTTCATCTTGACTGTTGTCTTTGCTGGCCATACTCATTGTTTCTGACCAGCCAATTTTGTCATTTGCTGTTGCTTCTGACAATTCCTGAAAGAAGATCAAAGGCCTTGAAATCTTACTTTGAAATCAGGGATACAGAAACTTCAAGGCCACAAGACCAGGTGGATTGCATGAAAGAGGGGGACTCTTATGAGCACAGGAAAAAATGTGTGAACCTTGTTGGATTCTTTCGTTATTTTCATTTGTAAGTCGTTCTTTTTAAGTCCAATTTTCTGAAAGCTATAAGTCAGACTTTCCGTGAAACTGAACACAAGAACTTGGGTTAAAAATGGGGGAAGGCAAGCTAAATTGGGAGAAAGGCTTAGAACTTTATGCGCTCCTGTTTTAACTATGAGCAAAAATTTTCTGATGGAAAATGAACATTACTTACAATTTTTTACAATGAGAAAAGTTCTGGTGTTATTTGTTAGAAACATGAATAAATGCATGACTCCTCTCTTCCCTAGAGCTCGTTCATTCATCATTTGTTGACACAAAAGTCAACCTCTATTTAGCCAAAATCGGCACCATTTAACGAGTTTCTAAATGCATTCAAGAGGCGCAATGATGGGGGCTGAGAACAAGATTTGACTGTGGCAAAAACATTTTTTCTGAAGCCAAGAGGGCTTTAATGTTACAGCAATTGAAAAATTTAATATGAGTTTCTGAGAATGCCTTTCAGCCACTCTTGCCATTTTGTCACTTATGGGGTTTTCTCACCTCAATCCTTTATTGAGGGTCATTTGAAAAAGAGGAAATGGTTACAGACTACTTTTTAACGGGAGAGATAGAAAATTATTTAATTTTGACGAGAAGCACTGTCATAACAGGGAGGTGTTTTCTTTAAATGAATTTTGACCATATGACAATAATCAAAAGAATTGTTGGAAAAAGTCATTTCTATGCTGTAGAAAAAAATGGAAAAGAAAGTTTAGATGTGCTTTTCCTTCACATTGACTACATTTTGTAGGGACTTTATAAATTTATATTTTTTTGCTTCTGATAATTTTCTCATCTAATCATCATACATTAGGTTTTAAAGTGCTTACCTTAAAAGTTGAGAAATTATCCTTCAGACTCATGAAGGCAATCAAATGTTGATGTTTCTTAATGAGAATTCGATATTCATAGGCGTTTTTAACTCCCATTGAGAAGCTATTAATAGATAGTTTGATGGTACATGCCCCTACCTAGATCTAGAGAGATCAACTCCGTTAAAAGACATTAATGAAAAAAAAAGGACTTTTCCTTTTTTTCAAAAATGGCCATTCAATTTTCCCCCGAAAATAACATTGCTCCTGCTTGTTCAATAGGCATGATGTGTCTTGAATAACCAGGAAACTTTTGAATTTAGTTTACTCTCGTCCCTACAGGAAAGAAAATGAAAAAAAAAGGACAAGAGAAAAATAGAAAAAGAGGAAGAAAAAGACGAAGGAAAAAATCAAAAAGATGAAACGTGATGGTGAGTTGATACCTGAGCTGATTGAGCATCTTGATTGGAAGTGACATCTGTTGTCAAGAGACAACTATCTTGAGGAGAGTTGGATAAAACTGATTGTTCCACAGGGCTCCCTGAGACAGGTGCATGGGTTACAGGCTCTAAGGAACTAAAACCAAATGAGACTGGACCAGAGGATCTGCAAAAAAATTTGTGGGAAATAAGAAAATAATTTTGGGAATGGTGCTCATGAAAAAAAAGAAAAGTAGATATTTCTTACATTATGACATAACTATGATTCTTGCAGAAATTTAAACAATTCCTGATCTGGAAATTTGCGACAAATATGACATAATTTCAAAGAAGATGACTTTTGGGGGCTGTTTTTTAACATTTTCACAGGAGGCTGATAGAACCTTTGGCTTTGGGGCATCAGCGCCACAACTCGAGAAACGATCAGAATTTTGGTATTTTCCAATTTTATCTTGTGCATTTTGGGCATAATTAGCTTTATTGGCAGCATGTTTGGTCAAAAATAAGGCTCAGATCTTCAATTGAAAATTCTACCATTTCTGCATCATTATGATACTATACATTTTATTTGCTGATTCAAACTTAGAGAAGACCTGGCAAAAATTTGATGATTGGGGTACCTGGGCAATATCCGCTCAAAATAAATCAGTTGTAACAATATAATATCATAATTGTGCCTAACCTGTTTGATTGACCAAAAATTGATGGAACACGTTGTTTTCCAGCATCTGCTTTATCTGTTGAACTGATTACAAGCTTGGTGCGTTCTATGTGATCCATGTGGGTTTTGAATAGTTCAGTGTACCTTTCATGAAGTTTTGTGTATTCCTTCTTCATTTCTTGCTCCTTCTCTTCTAACCTGCTGACTGAAGTGAAAATGAACGAAAATACTATTAGGCTAAATAAAGTAACTCATCTTCGGCTTCCTTTTTTAACCCCATATATATATCCACCTATCTTCACGTGAGTGACGTGAGGTCTGATCGAGAACGCCGAACAACGAGAGGAGAGGGGACTCGGAATTCTTCCGCCATGCTGCGGCAAGATAGAAAATAGTCCGGATTCAATTGCGAATATCTCGGTTTCTACTCGCAAAAATGAGCTAATTTTTTGGCTTTCCCTTAATTAAGTATGAACTTTATATCAATCTATTAAACTTTCATCGACTTTCATCGAGAGCCGCTGACCCCATGCTCTGTGCGGGGTTCTTTGAGAATTACTGGGACCTTGGTGGATCTAATCAGAAAGAGGTTCACAATCTTTTTACTGGAGGAGTGACAAGACTAAACTTAAAAAGAGAGTGGAGAGTGGTGAAAATATTAAGTGAATTTACCATGGTCAGATGAGTTCCTATTCTTTAATTCAAACATCCTAACTATTGACTCTAGACTTTCAACTTTGTTACTGTGAGTTTTGCGTTCATCTTCTATTGAATCTTCCATTTCCAGGAGTTTCTGAAACAGAGAAGTGAATTGTTAGACATCTTGAGCCTGGAGAGCATCAATTTTAGAGAGCTGTCAAAGCAGAGTCACCTGAAAAATTTGTAACCAGAATTTCGTCAAATTCTGACTATAAAAGTTAACTTGAGAGTTAACAAAGCAAAAAATTTAAAATTGTTACCGAGATTCAATTTTATACTGATAAAAAATTTAATCTATGAAATCAGAGATATCTTCAAGCAAAAACTTTTTACAGGATAGCATACAATTTTTTCTTAGCAAATTCTTTTTCAATCTATAGAGGTTTAGGTGGATATTAGCGAGTTGCAGAAAACTTTGAGTTCCTCCTGAAGTTCTCATAAATTTGCTGTTGAAAAAATTGCTTCTTCCTAGAAGCAAAAACACGATAAAAATTTGGCATTTTCTAAGCCCAGGCATTTAGCAGTCTGGAAGGCAGGATGTAAACATGACCAACATGCTAGCGGCCAACGACAGTATTGACCATTCCCACCCGTAAACTGCAATTGGTATGGCATTCTGAAAAGTTCCAAGCATTGAGACTTTGGATCCATGCTTTCAATGAAGATGAGAATCTCTAGATTCTGAAACTCATCTTTGAAAGGTGCAAATTAAGGTGATATGATAAAAAATTGATGAGGACTGCAGAAATTCACAGAACAAAGCTGCTTTTGAAGAAGAGGAAAAGGTAGAACTTACTTTCAAAAGCAGCAAAAAGAGGGAAGAATGAAAGAGAAAAAGAGAAAGTGACAAAGTAAGTATTGATGCCTAGTGTCAACATAGAGATGCGTACAAAACTTAGAATGGAAATTGTACTCAGAAAATATTTGTCTTAAAACATAGGACTACCTGTTCAACAGATTTCCGCAGCTGTTTTTCCCTTTCATACTGTGTTATGAGTTGTTCATTATCTTCCCTCAAAAGCTCAAGCTCTACTTCGTGCTCTTGATTCTCCATGTAGGCTAGGTCGAGACATTCCAGAACGTTGACCACTAGCGGCATTAAATTTTTGACAACTTCCTCATCATATTTGCCAATCATTCTTTCAAATTCTTGGTATATACTTCCAGCTAAAGACTGAACTTTTTCAGACATGACTACATGCGAATCTTCATGTGAACAAAAGACAACTTCCTGTGTCATCTTGAATAGATTGCTAGGAGGCACACATAAAAGAAAAGAAGCACAAATTGAAAGGGGCACGAAACACGTAGAAAACTAAGAAACTTAATTAACTAATAAGGTAGTAAATCACAGGACTAATGAAAAAAATTGCACAAAGTATACGGTTTGCAGAAAAAGTTGTTGGCATAATGATTAACATTTTCGTAATTTCGCCATTGTTATCTAAGAGCTTCGGACGAGGGTTATGTTATTGTTGTCACGTAAAAAGTTGACATCGGGATGACGTCACGGACACGTATCGATAGTTGCAGCATCTGGACCAATGAAATTGCTGCATGCCCCAAATTGCATTGCCTCACCACCCCTCCCTCCCCTCCCTTGTGCTACAGAACACAAAATTGCAATTTATTTTCGTGCAATAAGGAAAATTTCATCATTCATTCATTATGTACATTGCCTGGAAATATTCGGGGCTGAGCGATGAAACTACCCGACTTGTCAACGAGGAAAGTTATGAAAGGACGCTGATAATGTTTTGTCTCAATTTTCATTTTTACATTGCAGCAAGTCGGTCTGTGCGTTCAGTGGGATTCCTGTACACACGAAAAAATGGAAATATTGATCTGCACCAATTGATCCCAAGTCCCAAGAAAACCATAAATATTCGCAATAATGACGCGATTAAATAAGAGAAATCTACATTTTATGTAACCAAAAAATTACAGAAAATTCAATTTTCATTTATTCACGGAAATTGTAAATATAAAAAAATACCCAAATACAACGATGTAAAAAAAAAAATTTCAAATTTTCTCAAACAAGGAGCCGGAGAGGAGTGCAGGACATGGACATTACAGACATTACCTGCCTACCGCGCACTACCGTCAAAAAGGTCGCAACTCTGGTTCGATATCTCGAAAATCGATATTTGTTTACATTCGCTAGGGGACCGACCGACCGATGGACGACGAATTTCGTTGTGCTTTCGAACGTGCTATGCCTTGCGGTGCACTATTGTGCACTTTGTAAAGCCCTTTTCCTGCAACACACCTCATTCTTTTATTGTGTCCATGTATTCGCACCGAGTTTTGTTTCCGCGGAAAATCGGGCATTAGCGCTATTAATGTCCGACTCCGCAAGTCCTCAAGTTCATGCACAGTGTTACATAGTGTAAAACTGAGGCTGAGGTAGGATTTGGACAGGCCTCATCTCACTTCAGAAACAATTCCGGCTGCTTTGGCCACTGGCACTCGTTCTGTGTTTGCTGTTCTATTATTTGTGTTTTCGTCTCGACCCGTCCAACGTAACTTAAGCCAATGGATTCAAGAGTAAGTTCATGCGTCATGAGCCATTTCATTCATCGAGTCATCTATAGATAGTATCAAAGTAATCCGTAATATAATGTACATTTACCGGAAGGTCTGTTGAATTATGTTATGCCAAACCTGCTATGTGCTTTCTTTTAAATTTTTTTACTACACCAAGCTCTCTGAACTGTGTTCAAGAGCAATCGGTAACTTCCTGGTTGTGTTTCTATTGGTAATCAGAAGTAATCCCGCCTTACATTTTTTCTTAACTGCCTTCCAATACAACCAGACGAATTCTGATCATCAGATACTACAATGAGTTGAATGCCTGACACCTTGTACTGCCAGTCCAACGGTAATTCATTTTCACCCTAAGTTGAATAAATGTAGCATTACCCAGACGAACTCTAACTGTGGGTGTCAAGTAAATCATTAAATTTACCTTTACCTTTTAACACTTAGTACTTAAGTATCTAACTTTCGTAGCAACTTGCTCTAGTCTGTTTTTCAACTACCGCTAATATACATTAACTGAATTCTGTCAAATCCTTAATATTCATATATTTGTGTGGATTTGTTCTAGATGAAGAGTGCAGAAGAGCAGCGGCTGATAGATGCGAGGATAGCAGAAATAAAGAGAAAAGAGCAGCTCATCAAAAAAAGACAACAGGTATCGACTTGGTTGTCACCCTTTGTTACCTGGTCAGGCAAAGAATTTATTGCACACACAAGTATCCAACTGATTGATGCGGAGTCAGCAGAGAAGTAGCAAATCAGAGCTCTGTAAGAGCCACACAAGGAATGACGTAGAATAACAAGTAGAACTTGCGTCAGATAAGATGGCAGTTGCTTATTTTTCATTTGCAAGTGACTGAACTGTCATCCAATAGCTGTAGAAAATTGCCAGTACTCCTCAAATAATGAAATGCCTATGCCGAAGTAGGGAAAAGTTCCAGTTGGGAGAATGTTTCTCTTTCAGTAGGCACATAGTTTATTGATCCAGGGGTACAAAAAGGTCCAAATGCAGACAGTTTCTTATGCTCCAGCGTATTTACCTCACGGGGAATTTCCAATATTGGTCTCCTTGAGAAATGTCCATTTTCATGATCAAGTGCCCGATTTCATTGCAAAAGAACCCCGCTTTATCCTTATGGAAAATCCCCCCCCCCCTCGTTCAGAACTCGCAAAGAACCCCGCACCATCCTTATGGGAAATCCCGCTCTCCCCAGTCAAACCTGATGAAACTTTGATATGTTGCTCAGCTAGTCATCCTGATCAAAAGCTCTCATGGGCCCAAAGATTTTCGAAACATTTGCCGTTTTATATGCACGTACGAAGGTCCCTTCGGCCAGACCTTTGTGCGGTGCCACTTGTACCCCTCCCTTCCAGTCCACTCCGGCCCCTCTCCGCTTCTCCACCACCCGCACTGGATGCTCAGACTCCGATGCCCACGGGGAATTGCTAATCGCCACCAGCCCGGGTGGTCTTATCTGGGTGATGATGAAGACCAACCGGGCCTGTGACGATGAGCAAAGTCTCGTGAGCGTCGGAGTCCGAGCCTCGGGTACGGGTGGCGGAAAAGTGGAGAGGGACCGGAGTGGACTAGAAGGGAAGGGTACGAGTGGCGCCGCTCAAAGGTCTGTCTGGCGGGACCTCCGTTCACCCATATAAAATGGCGAATATCTCGCAAACTGCACATGGGATCTCTTTGGGCCCATGAGAGCTTTTGATCAGAATGACTAGCTGAGCAACATATCAAAGTTTCATCAGGTCTCACTTTGGAGGGGGGGGGGGGGTCTCCCATAAGGAAGGTGCAGGGTTCTTTCCTCACAGATTGGTCACAATTTTGTACAGTGTTAAGCCAGAAGAAGAAAGATTGATAAGTCATCACTTTTGGCTTTGGAAGATTTGGCTAATATTTGCAGTGAGTTGCGAGATCAGGCTTTTTTGGCACTGTTGCACTGGTCCTGGCAAATCTATGCTTTCAATTTTTTTGAGTTTGGACTTTCTGCTTGAGGAGTAGGACTTTCTTGGTTCCATTAGGGGTGTTTCACATGAGATAGCATTGCTCAGGTTAGTCAGGTTAGTTGCTCTATACAATGTATCAGAATTTTGGCATTGACTAATTTTTCATGGGTTTATTTTCTTCAGGAAATAGAGGAAGACATCAGACTTGCTGCAGAACAAGATGCGTTGGTAAATCTTAAACCTGTGGCTGATGACTGGTTACCTGGGAAACTCAAACCGAACAGCCGAGTTAGTTTTGGGGAAGTAGAGGTAATGCATTACTGAATAGTCTTTTTGGTACCTTAAAAGTACTCAAAATTATGTATTCTATCAGAGGTTCAGAAACTGGATGACTTAAAAAGAATTTTATCAAAAGAGGTCATTAGTATATTCTAAAACTTACAAGACACCAGAGGTTCACGCCTCTGCCTAAGACAAATACATATCTATCAGTTTGGCCACAATAAGTCCAGTCGGCACCCGGAAGTAAGTACAGTTGAAAGTCATCTCTCAAAGCGCATTGGCTCTGAGGGCACTCAGTGTTTCCCTTAACTGTATAACTCAGACGCATTACAGAAGATTCCCCCCTCCATTATTCTTAGGCATTTCAAACAGTTAAATAATCATTCTACTAGCGCAGCAGCCTTGCCTCGAAATTTTGAGATAATGGAGTGTGTGTTAATTTTTACTCTTAGTGCTATCTTAAAAATTTTTTAAAGTAATCATAGTATTGAGCTTCCAAACTATGAAAAAAATAAGTGTCACTTAATCTTCGTTATCAATTGTTCTGCAGGAAATGAACCCAACATCAAAACAGATGCCTTACCGAGGTAGAGGCCGAACAAAACGTTTTGATGATCAGGTAAAGCCAGTAACAGTGCCGCTCATAATAATGCCAACCTAGTTTTTATTTTTTAATTGATTTCACCATTTGGTTCATCTAGCTGTGAATAGTGCTTGATTTTTATAATTTTCCAAGCTTGAACTTCTGCCAGAAGCTCATTTTATAAGAATTTATACCTGATTAGATCATTATTTCTTTAATTTCACCCAGACTTGTAAATTCATTGATTCCCTCATCTCTTGTTTTATTTTTCCATCATATTGATGCTTCTTGTGGTTTATTTTTTGCTTTTGCTTGATTTTGTAAGCCTTCTTGATTACCTTCTCTCCAGCTTCTATTTTAGTAGCACATGGATTTCAAAATGATTCAACTAATAACCGCACTCGTATGTTAACACATCAGGGGTGAGGGAGCTTTTTGACATTTATTCTGGTGGGGCGGCCAAACTATCAGCCACTGGTAGCTTATGTGCCCCCAAATCAAGTTTTTGCTCATTTTTGGATTTAAGTAAGAAATTTTGAGACTGTTTGAATTATAACCAGAAAATATGATTATGATAGTTTTTTTAAAACTTAGGTATGACACCTTTATTTGTGAATGAAAAGTTTATTATCCCATCTTCAATTATTACGTTAAGATCCCAGTGGCTAATGGCATCTCAAAATTACGCTGTACCTTGCATGTCAAGAAAACCCATTGATACTATATCAGGCCAAATTAATCCTCATCCTAATCTCTCCCCTTATTGCTAGGCCCAACTTGTTCAAACATTTTGTTACATTCATTGTAAAATTAAAAATCCTGTTTTTTTGCTGTAATGACAATTTTAAATAATTTGCGAACAATAATGAAGCATGAAATCACATGATCAGTCAACATCATGTAATATTGTATCTAATTTGATGAAAAGTTGCCTAAATTTTACGCAAGTTTTTAGAGGCAGGCTTTAATTTTTACCCTGAAAGTTGCATAGGCTGCATTCTAAAGGTACATGTTAAAGCTTCTCCAAATGTTTCTCTAAAGCAGTATTTGGAACAAAATAATATTTATAATAATTAAATTGTGTGGAAGATAGATCTGTGGTTTTCTTCTAAGATGCTTTCAGTTACTAACATTATTAGCTCTTAAGACAATGATTTTAATTATTATTTTCATTTTATTGAGGATGAACCTGTATTTTTCTTCCTTTTCCATGCATGATGGACTATGAAGCCATTAGGTCTGGGCATATCTTATTTTAGGACTGCTTACTTAATCTGAAGTCTTTTCATTTCCATCTAGTATTCAAGTTTATTTATGAAGTAGATTAGAATTCCATTTTCTAGGGAGTGCAATCCTTGTGTCCAGTATTCTTTATAGTTGTAAATCGCATAATTTAATATTTTCCCAAATTGTTTGCCTACCAGTGGCGTGGCGTGAATTGCAATATATCGATTGTTATGCCATTGAAACCCATGGTAAAGAATCGATTATCAAGATGTTCGCTGCGAACACCCAGTTTATCGATCCTTTTCCATGGGTTTAAATGGCTGATCAATCGATAAATTTCGAACAACGCCATGCCACTGTCGCCTACTGCTTACTGAACCGTAAAGAAAATGAAGTCAAAATAAGATTGCAAAGGATGGTAGAACTATGTCTTAAGTCTTTTCAAGACTAATCTACATAGGTCAGTCATTCCTGAAGACGAGTTTTAGAACCCTACTGCACAGTGACGTAGAACTGGCTGTTTCCAATGTATTGCCAATGGGAGCAACCAATGTGACGTCACACTGGCTGCAGCTGAGTTGTGGCGGGGCGGGGTAGTAGCTTTCTAAAAGATGCGCAACGACTAACCTGTGCGGATTGGTCTTGGTTCTGTTGTATGAGATAGCAACCATTTTGAATTTCTTAATTGAGGTCGTTTTGGGCGTTTTTAGATGAAGGATGTAAAGGATGAGAAATGAAATAGATTCGTGAGTTTTCAGTCCATCATTACAGACAACAAATTTTCATGTGTGTAGAATATTGACGTTCCTAAATTGCTTGAAAATCTCAAATATTTATGATGGGTTGCAGAGGGTTGGAGGCCCACCACCAGATCCTATCAGTTTTCTTGCGGATCCAGAACGGGATAATGCTTTGTCTGATTCAAATTCAATGCACTATCAGCCAAGGAACAATCGACAAGAACTTCGTCAGGAGCCTCCTCCGAAAAACCTGAATGAAAATTGGGTAAGAAGCCTACTGTTGTTATTGTTTTTTTCAAGGGTAGTTAAATAAATAAAGTAAATGAGTCCATGTTATATCAGGCAAAGAATGCATTCAATTTGATGCTTCGAAAAAAAAGAAAGAAGAACCGAGGTGTCAGTTAAGTATTACATAATGTGTGTATGGGATCTTAGGCAGTAATATCCTTTACAGCAGGGTCAGGCAAAAATGTATTTCAAGCAGGGTGAGGTGGATTAAGGTTGGTAGAGAAATCAGAAAAAACAGCTTAAGTATCAGGTAAATGATCTCTGATCAGCAAACATTCAATACTGAGGTTACAGGAAACTTTAATTTTCTAAATGAAGTTGACGATGTCAGGAGATCAGGTGTTGAGCTATAATTTGTGTTCTGGGGTGAACTTCTGTTACTTAATCGTCTTCAGTGAACTGGGCAAAGACACCATCAAAGGATAAGTGTCTTAGTTCAATCACCTTTCCTTTGGTGTAGCCAAACTTTATTTTTATCCTTAGGTGTTCAGAGTTCCACTGAACTATTATGCCAAAGCAAAGGAGGAGTTTCCTCATTTAGACAAAATCTACAGAGAGAGGATTTTACGCAAGGAGAAAATTTTCCACTGAAACTTTTTGTGCAAGGCTGGAATTGGAGTGGTTACAGTGATCAAAGTACCCTACAGGACAAGGTTAAACATGTTGTCGTGAAATTTGATTCTGCTATCCACCTAGTTTCAACTGCCAACTAATTATGAAACCCTCTCTATCAAAGCAAATGAGAGATAGCAAAGGTGTTGCAGTGACCATTATTATTTTCGGTCTGTAGCCCTGGCATTTTTCTATGCCTCTGCTCGTTTCTTGGCCTGATAGCCTTAAGTACCCAACAAAATATTGGTGGTGAACATTAAGAATTCCATTGATTTTTGAGTAAACTTCTTCATATTAATCATCTTTATTTTTCAGAGAGGTGAGGAAAAACGGCTACCAGCTAAACCCATAAAAACTCAAGACGGTGACTGGAGAGAAGAGAAGCATAAGAACGTGGACAGAAATTGGCGTGAAGACGGCGCTGGTGATTATATCAGGTTCGACATTTTTCTGGTCTCTTTCAAAGTTTTGAAAAGAACAAGATTCATTTGCTAGCAGAAAAATTACTTCAAGTGGTATCCAATGATAAGAGAGTTTATCAGATCTTCCTGAATTCAAAATACGTTCTGGAAGTTAGAAATTCTGTCAGGAAGTATGCGTAACACAACTTAATTGACCTCAAAGAAAGGTCCTCCCAATGCACATGTTTTGAAGCGGACTAAATTACTATTCCTGAAAGTGGCTTGCTCTATTTTAAAGTGAATAACGTTATATGTATGATGTATTTTATCATACTAACAAGTTATTCACCTGTCCCATGAACAGCATTTGAAGCAGCCTTCATTTACAAGTTTCATTCATCTTTTCAAGGAAGTTTTCCTCAATCTTATTTTTCTTTTTATCCTCTAAAAACCAATTATTCTTTGCCCCAGGGATGACCGAAACCCAGGAGTCAAAACCGTAGATATGGTACAAGATTGGAGAAGGCCTCAAGCTCCACCTAGAGGTAAATATTCTGTTTTAATTCTAATGATAACCATTCATCAAAGTATACTATTTTTTCAGGTATTTTTCTCTTCGGTCTGAGAGAGCAAAGTGAAAAGTTTCAGAGTACAGAAGTTAAAAATGGCAGTTTAAATAGTGCTACCTAAATGTTCGTTAATTTATTCTTTTAATTTTGCATGAATTGAGATGAATTTGAATTCTTTTCTCAGCAGTCTAAGTTTGCCCAGTGGGTCCCAGTTCCTCTAATCTTACTCTTTTTTTTTCTCTTTTCCTTTATTCTTGTCTTTTTCATTTCTCTTGTCCATTTCCTGTTTGCCTGTCTTCATTCGCTCCGGCCATTTCCATTTCTGTGTGTTGGCACATGCGCACAAGCAAACTTTCAAGATTCGCAGGCCCCAAATTTTTTTCTACGGTGTGAGAATCCCTTTTAAGGGGGTTTGTTCCCTTTGAAGCCACCTGTTTGTCTTTTGATTCGCTACTGAGTTGTGATGAGTGGTTTTTCTCTCATATTATTGCCTTGATGATGTGTCTTTTTCTCGTTTTTCTTGCTCCGTGTTTGCTCCCCTTTGTGGCATGCCTTTTCACCACAGCCTCGTGGTTATTATTGACAATGTCCAGTTATATTCCCAGTTATGTGTCTTCTATTTTTATTGCGTGGTCTAGTGCTAGAAACCAGCGCAAGTTTGATCTCGTCTTGAATATCACAATAGTCCTGTTAATTTTTCATTGCAACAAACCGTTGCCCACTTTCTCCCTTCAAGAATCATAAAAACTGTCGGAAAGTCCAAAACTCAGATTCTCTCTCTATTTCATAAATCGTTAATAAAAATTTCAAAGACCTTTTGCTGCTGTTCTTGGGATCAAAAAATTATCAGGATAATCTGCCATAGGGGTTGAGTAATTTATTTTATTATTTAATTGAGCTGAAAATTGTTTGAGTTTTTACCACTTACCGTTGTAGTTACAAGCACCTGCACTATGCCAAAATGAGAAGTCCAAGCTTCCTTTTTCATTCATTTTTTTTCTAAGTTACTTTCCCTTGAATCTTTTTTTGTAATGAACCGTTTTATTTTTGCCCACAGCCCAAACTGGTGCTCCTAACGACAGCTACATTGTTGATGAGGACAACTTTGGCCATACAAGATACTTACCCAATCCAAATGAAAACACACAAAATCCTAGCGATCTTCGAAACAAACTCATGGAGAAACGCACAGCATCGAGGTTACCGCCTGATTCAAGAGAGGAGGAATTACAGGAGCTTCCATATTCTGCTTTCAATAAGCACCCAAGTCCTACAAACTCAGAACTGTTGAATTCACAAAGAACCTATGATGATCCTCAAACGCCACAAAACTCCGCATACTACCTAAACTCTAAAGCTCCATCCTATGAACCATTGCAAAAAGTTGAAGATTTGAGTAAGGTCTACCGCGCAGAAAGCGACGATGGTTGGGAAGCCAGCGAGCAGTCACTTGTAAATCAGAAAGTATACAGAGAAGAGCCCACCAGGACCCAGTACTGGAAAGAAGATGATTCTTTGAATTATTACGAAGATCGTCCACCAACCGTTAATGCTACCCCTCAGTACATCGGCACTCAAAGAATTCCAGCAGAGCCGCCCAGAAGGGAGCCGCAAGAGAGATTTTTCAGGACTCAGTCCCAAATCAATGACAATGAGTGGGCTCCAGAAATCCAACGGGCTCAAAATATTTATCCCAATGAGCAGTATAGTTCTAATGCTGGAGGGCCGTATTCAAACGATGCATCCTTTGAGCAGCCTCCCTCGCACCGCCGGATTGTAAATCCTCCTACTTACGACAGACAGCCTGTCATTAACCAACAGACTTTATCCAGTGGTGGTTCTCGTCAAAATAGTGCATTGAACACTGGGAGACCTGACGATGCCTATGCCTATTTTCAAGCCAAGATGGCGAAAGCAAGAGCACAACAGGTCTCAAGCCTTGAGCTAGATGAAATGCAGGCACAATTTTCCAAGATGTATCAGACTCCTCCCGATAGACGAACTACTGCTGGGAGCGCTTCAGCACAAATGGTGGCTCAATATCAGTACGCAGAAACAAACACACCAACACAAGTGCCTGTCAATGAAAGACAGTATGCTGAGAAAATCAATGCTCGTCATCAAATAGCAATCAATTCTCAGTCTCTCAACTCGCACCAGCACTCATATCCAGAAGCGAATAGTTTGCACCAACAATTACCAAATTCAAGGAATGTCAGCCATCACCAGTATGCTGAAATGAGTGCACGCCAACCCCAAAGCATGACGCAACAACAATATGAGGCAAATTGTGCTCGTCAGGTACCTGCACGGTCCATGAGTATGAGCCATCCAGAATGCAATGAGATGATCGTTCGCCAGCAAGCCCTACAACCGCGGAACAATAATCAGGTAGACTATGCTGAAATGGTCAGCACTCGTCATCACACATCTGAACCCCAAAACTTAAGTCAACGCCAGTATAGTGAACCCATCACTGCTCGGCAGCCAGTTCAACAGCCTCAAAGGTATTTGTCCCATCAAATACCTGAGTCTCGCAACATTGATCATGAATATGGTGAAATTATTGATTCTCATCAGCGTGCACCCTTGTCGCATAATACAATCCAGCAAGAATATGGTGAAAGAATCATTTCTAGGCAGCAGCCAGTGCCAAATATTCATCCGCAAAGTGTATCACAGCCCCAATATGTTAAAAACCATTATGCTGAGATGAATGCCCCGCAACAAGTAACTAGCATGGAGAATATGTCGTCAGTCAATCAGCCCATAACCGCTGATATGAATGACAGGATTAGGAGATGTAGAGAGCAGGCCATTTTGGCACCCCATGCTTCTAATGCGCAACAAAGCTATGCAGAACCACGCAGCCAAATTGATTTTCAACGCCTGGAGGCTATGAAACAAAGTGGATTTGTAGAATACAACAGTTCTGTTGGGCGCAATCCTATGAAAGGGACAGATAACAATCGTCATAATGAAGAATTAATGCAAAATTACTCTAGTCGCATTGAAGTCAGACCTAATCTCAACATTCCACGATCTCATCCTTCCATGGAACCAGACTTGTATTCAGACACCGAGTATGATACTCGGTCGGTTGATCCATCTCAAAATCATTACCTACAAGAAAGTAGATCTGTGTCCAAGCAGACTGCTAGTGAGCCTCAAGAAGATCAGTGGACAGCGCAAATGGTTGAAATGAGGCAACTGGCAGGTCAAGCGGTACAACAAAGCTCACAGCCCAACTGGAACATTCAGCCCCCGCAACAGCAGCAGGTGAATGGACGACAACCTCAACCAGACAGTGAGTCTCTTTTAGCTTTCCAGAATGAACTTGTAGCTCACGCAACAGACAGAATCCAAGCGAGAGTGAATAGTGCGTTAAATGACAGGTTGAAAAGAGCTAGAGATGCTGCCCTTCAAGAAAAGCAGGAGCCACCGCTTCAGCCATCTCCTGTAGGAAGAGCCATCAAAGGGTGCTCTCAGCCGTCGGCTGGTGACAATCAGCCTCAAATCTTGCAACCTCAAATTGACAGTTGGCAAAATAGCATAAAACAAACTTCAGATTATCTCCCTGCAATTCCTCTTCAAGAACCTCAGCCTTCAAAATCACCAGATGTTAATCAACATGGTCCGGAAAGTGTTCAATCCTGCCTGTTGCGTGAGCCAGAAGCAGAAGTGCCATTAGAAGAAGAGCAAATAGAAATAAATTTACCAACATGCATTGATTTATCAAAGCCGCCTCCAGCCATTCCAGGAGTTCTTTCTTCAGGACCTCCGGACCTACTCTCAGATGAAATAACAGCAAAGATATTTTCTGCCCCCCCACCAGTAATCCCCGAGTTGAACCCTGATAGTGATGATGCTGAAAAATTAATCGCAAAACCCTACTATCAGTATAAACCTCCATCCAACCAGTCTTTCCGCCCAAAGTTAACGTTTTCTCTGGAGAAGAAGGGGCTAGAAAAGACTGATCAGTCATCTGCTACTAGTTCTGCCTCATCGCCGGTAAGTTAATTTTTTTATTGATTTTGTCTCCTTCCACTAAGGCATCATAACGTCGCTCCTTTCACGCAAGGACGTATCTCTATTTCTGTATGAGCTCCAGGGAGCATAGATTTATGTATAAAACAGGGTTCATGTAGAAAATGAGGTACGTCCTCACGTCAGAGGCGCGATGATATGGAGAAAAAGACTCACATGCTGTGCAATACCACTGGCTCCATAATGTCAACTATACGAAAGACACAAAAAACTGATCTACAATGGCTGAATATGTTATTTTTGCTTTAATTTTGGTAGTTTTTAGAATATATGCAGGTAAAACTTAAATATCAATAAAAGTTTAAGAAAAAACTCATTTTTCCTCAGTAAATGTTCCCTTGTGACTTCGCATTCAAAGAGAGTTCTGTGAGCACAGCAGTGGATGTAAGAGGTATAATGCATATTTCCTTATGCTTATTGAAGAACACAAGCTCCAGTGTTCATCTGATAGACCCCTGTCAGTTCTGAAATACATGTCACTTCACATTTGTAATCTTCGCCTTTTTTTTTCTAGCCGAAAAACGATAGGCTCAAGAAGGACACTGTCTCCAAAGATGAAAAAGCGTCCAATAAAAAGAATCAAGAGGTGGTAGCAGAAAAACGTATTTCAGCAGCGGAACGTGTTGCAAAACTCCTAGAAACCCCTGTAGTCCTGCCTGATTACACTCCCAGTTATGTTTTAAAAGTCTTGGGAGAAGAAGAAATTAAGAACATCAAATCCAGAACAGCTGGAAATAGCCGCAATGCCCAAAATGTTGGATCTTAGTTCATACTCTTCAAGGGTACTCTTTGCATGAAGACAGATCCAGTGACTTTCTATTTGTTCCTATCTTGCCAGAAAGATGAAAATGAAACATTTTGAGTTCACTCGAAAATCTGAGTATTAGATTCACTCGCCTCTAATTCCAAGAGTAATCGCCCAGGAACTTACGGTTTTTTGGCGGAATGTTCATGTAGTGAACAAAACAATCCAGATGAAATCTTTTTTAGCTAAAATTCAGTAGAAGTAGCAGTGATTTAATTTCCTTGGAAATCTTACACAGACCCTTACTCTGTATAATTTACATTATGATACAAGTTTGTGGGTGTACAAGAACGTTAAGAGGAAATACATAAGTAGAAATCAGTCTGAGAAAAATGAGGATTATGTACTTAAAATAATTTGGTTGTTTTTTCTGTTTACCAGTACGTAGATCTCTGAGTGCTTTCTCTTGACTTTTCTATCATTTAACACTTACAGCTCCAGTTTACTTTCTAGAATATCTAGTTCTTGAAGCTCCCTAACGAAAGGTTCACAATTTGGATTGCTGAATGAGTCCTGAAATTAGCAAGGACTCCTAATTTTGACTCACAGAAAACTATGCCATGAAATGGAGGGTTTCTTCTTTTTATACCTCTTGATGAGAGTGAACTATGCCAGTTTTAACTCGTGACGGTTTGATTTCATTTTCTGGTGCTAAGGATCCAGCCTATGGCCAACTGATCTGCTTAAGACTTCCATTTTAGACCAGTCCAGACAGTTCAGTCATTCCTGTGGATGAGTTTTGAGATCCTTCTGTGTATTAGCAGTGCACTGGGAAGTTAAAATGCGATGCATTTCTCATGGGAGACGCAAATTCTACATCATACTTGCTGCAGTGGAGCGGGGGTCCCTCTGGCTTCTCACTGATGATCAAATTGATTTTCAATGATTCTCCTACTAACTCCTATTTGAATAAATCCAGCCCAAGCCCTTTAGCGGATCCTATGTAATCGTGTGGATCTCAAAAAGATGTGTAGTGACTGACCTGTGTGGATTGGTATTGCTTCTTTTTTTAAATTCTTATTTCTCTCTCCAATCATCACACAAGTTTTGTCTTTTCATGTTTTTTTTTTTTTTTTTCCAATTGATTTTTACACGTTGACAACCACAGCAGTTAGCAAAAGAGCCTTTTGCATCTCCAGGCTGGTCATCATGGCAAAATACGATAGTAGAGTTTTACCGATTCTATGTATTTGCCTAAAGCCACCCACCCTGAGATGGTCACTGAGACGTAATGGGCTCCATCGTCCTAGATGAACATCAGCAGGCCTTGTTTCATGAAACATTTTAACGAATTTTAACTTTGTTTGCTGAACTGTTCGTCGCTAACTGTGCTAACGCACGTCTTTATGTTATCATAGTTTTGTTGAATTATTCTCTGAATCCGTAGTTTTGATCATTTCAAGTTACCTCAGGCGAACTGTATGTGAACAACATCACCCGTAAGCTTGTGCTACTAAACTATGCCGAACGGTGGTGGCTAGCTGAATGGGTTCATTTGTGTAGATGGAGCCTTAATTCTCACGTTTTGTGACAAAATCAGCATCAGGGAACAGTGAGATGGCTAAGATTCAGTGAGAAAAAAATGTTTTGATCCCTACTTTCGTTAGACGATTAGTAAGCTTGAGGCATGATCCTGTGGAAGTCGACGTGTTGATCAATGTGCGTTGATTAAAGTGTTAATCAACCAAGGCCCAGTTCTACCTCTTCTTGACAAATTTAATCTCCTGATAGAGAAAAATTTAAAATGCTGTTTCAAGAGATTTTAAAGCTTGACCTCTATGTTTCATTGCGTGAAGGTCATCTTTGGCTCTGGCGGAACATTACCTGTAAAATGGAATGAAACGTTTAAAACGTATCAAGTGGTGATAGAACAGGGCCTGAACTATATTTTAGATTTTGAACCTCTATGGTGCCACTCATTCAAATTCAATTGTGTCTTAACATTGAATTTTCAATTGTCAAAACAATTAGCAGGATCTAATGTCTGTAATTAGTGCTTAATTCTAGTTGGAAATGATTTGTTAAAAAATTTTGAAACTATTACTTCTTTTGGTGTATAGTACTCAAAAAAAAAATTCTGGCCTCCTTGCATTTATAAATCAATTCTGCACCAATGTTTTCAGATGGACAGATCATTGATGTATTTCTACAGTTGAGTTGATCAATGTGATTCAGTGTTAAAAGGAGACTAATTGAAGGCTTATCACACAATTTGTTACATGTCATTGTATGTTATGTTTGAAATTTTAAATTTTGACATGCCCAATTTCCTTAAGTCAATGTCTTAAAGTAAACAAGACACTTTGACCTTATCATTTTTAATTTTTTTCCTTGAAGTTCAAGGAAACCTCTGAAATCGTCAAGATCTTTTTCGTTTCAATTCTTTTTCTTATTAACTGAAACGTATTTCAGATTACCTTTTCATCCTTCATATGTGACAAGGGTAGTCAGAATGGATCTGTTCTGGTAGTCACAAAATTGTGTTTTGATTTTTTCAGATTATTGATCAGCAATAAATAATAAACTCCGTTCAAACATCAAGTTTCCATGTCTAATGTTAACATCATTCTTGCACACACAACGTCATCCTTTAAAATACAGGACGTATGAAATAATCCACCACAGCGGTGTGTGTGTACTACATCTTCCACCTTGATTTCATTACTATGATTTGATTGATTCATTAAAACAATGCACTGACGCAGCGGATGATGTCACACACTGTGTTGCATGGAGAGTGATACCTCCATTAATATTGGATGTGGAAACAAGGCATTTGGACAGATCATTTCATTTTTTGCTAAACTTTAAGCTTCAACCATAAAAATACAATTCTATTATCAGCGCAACTCACACGTTGTTCACACAATGAGAAGAATTAGTAAATAATCTCCAAAAATAATTTTTACATTATCCACTATAGTGAATATGCATTTTTCAAACAAGCAAATTGTATTTCAGAGACTTTTTTTCTCTTAAAATTTTTACCACCAATTTTAGGTAATTTAATTTTTTTTCCTTCCTTTTTTAATGATATAGTTTTAAGTTCTTGTCTGTTTCTTTTTTGTGGCATTTAAAATTTTGCAATGAGAGTTTTGCAAAAATTCCTGTAAAGAAAGAAAGAATTTGATTCTCCTTCTTGAAAATCAATAATTATAGCTTTTAATAAATTAAATTCGGAGTTTTGTTTCAAACTATGGTTTTTCCAGTATCCATAAACTGACATAAACAGGACTCACTCAAAAAAAAAAAAAGAAAGAAAAAGAAAAAATAAGAGGAAAAAAACGAATTGGGGCAAGTTGATCGTCAGAATTAAATGACAGTCAAAAGTAAAATCTGTTCTGCGATCTGCTGTGCCATAGAATAGCTACAGCGGCTCCAGCTTGCTCCACCTCTTTTGCCTCAATTAAATTCTTTCAATTTTAACTTTGGATCTGTGGCATTTATCTAGTTTATTGGCACACGCCTCAGATTTGATGGAGGCTCAACTTCAATTTTTGGGTGTTTGTCCCTTTTACAAGGAAAGTAGTTTTGCTAGCTTCCAATTTTTTTTTATTTATTTTTTTTTTTTTTAGAATATTGATGGCTGAAATGTGGGACCTTATATCTTTGATAGTGAGACGTTGCAGACTTCGTGTCATACTTAATTGTTTCTTTGGAAAACTACTTCACATTATTTGTTGAGAATTTCCTTGATATTTTTTCTCTGCTAGGAGAATATTCTGTAAAAATTTCAAGCAATAAGTTGGTAGTTGGTTCGTTTCTCTTCGAATAAATCAAATAAGAGCAGAAATCGTGTAACACCACTCTGGAAATACGTGGTTTTGCACTTCGTCTATTGATTTGTGAAAACCCACAGTGAAAAGGATCATGGAGTGGAATTTCATGAATATTTTGTAGACCCCATTTCCTCCTAAGAAGGGAGAGAAAGAAAAAAAAAACCAAGAATTAAAATAAAATGAGAGTCCCTCCTACTAAAAATTTGCTACTCCAAACGTGCCGTTTTGAAGAAAAACCATCTAGAGTTTTAATTTACACTGTTGAGGGCTGAAAATTGTCAAGTTATGACCACAAACAACATGAATTAAACTTAGACAAACGGCGTTACTTAATTTGTTGAACTCAACAACTGAAGTTATGAAGAATTGAAAAAAATATTAAATTCATGAAAGTTGATTCATATATTATCAAAGCTAAAACTAATCTAAAAAATTGATCAAAGAGAAAATTGGTAAATAGAATGGATGCAAGTACGAAAGAAAGTTAATAACAATCATCTCTATCGCAGGAGAGACGGTACACCAAAACAACTTTATTATAGTATAAATTTCTAATTTTAACTGATGTAAAAATACTATAAAACAGAACAAACCAACAAACAAACACGCAGAAATTGAAAACTACCTAAACTTAATTAATTCAATTGTGGCAATTTGCACTAATGACTTGAAATCTTCGAGCAAATGTGCTCTCCAAAATCTGGTTCGACCCCACACAATGGCTGGATAGTTAGGGCTGCTGATTCCATGGAATATTCTTGCAATGGCAAGACCAGTAAACATCGAGTCGCGATGAGTCTCGACTAGGCTTCTTATGTCTCCTAAGACTTGTGCTTGATTATTCAAACCAGTCTGAAACAAAAGAAATGATTTGAAAAAACCTACATTCACTAAAAATGTATGGACAGAGAAACTGCGAATCTCGATTTGCAACAATGCAGACTTCCTATGATTTTATTATCTGAATAGAAAACTACTCAAGTCATTTTTTGAAAACAGTAGTAATTTTTCTTCTTCATCTGAAGAATATTCTCTGAAAATTTTAAGCCATGATAATGGTTTAGTCTCCTTTCAAAAATTAAATAGGAGCGGAGATTTAGAAACCACTATTGACACACCCTTTTTTGCAGTTTCACTGTCGTTATGTAGTTCTACAAAGCATTAAGTATGGCAAGTAAAGTATTCGTAATATTTTTAAGCTATTTTCGTTCTTCATCTTCTCTTTGAATTTATTTTTTTTTTTAAAGAGGCCATTAAAAAGGATAACAAAAAAATTAGGAACCATAATCTTTGTTCCCTCATCAAAATTTTAAACCAGGTAAAAAATAAATCTGGTAACATTTTGGCATTCATCAATGTTTCTAATCACCAAAAACTGAAGTTTACTTGAAAAAAATTGCTTCTAGGACTAATTTTAGCTCATTTTGTGATCTAAGGTCGTTTATAGGCTGATTCAATTGTTTTAGATGCTTATGATCACAGTGATAAGGGAAGTGCAAGACTTCAAAAACACTAACGGCACAGAAATGGTCCAATAAATTGTAACAGTCATATAAGTATTGGGCGTGATCCATTCTTGCCCAAGAATATCTTTCAAATGGCAGCATTAACCAACAATTTATAGGTCAAACCTTTAAAGTCATGATGAAGAGGATCAAATGACTTTCATCCTCAGCTATGCAACTAAGAAAGTTTATAAGCTTCGTTAGAACTTAGGTTCAATACTGAAGTCTCATTTATTTCTCCCCTGAGAAAAAATACCCCATTCTGCAATAACATTGAAAAAAAAATCACCGAGGTCAATCTATAAAAAATCAATGTTGAGTCAATTGTGCTTACCGCAACAATTTTTTCGATTGAGTGTGTTGTTGCTGAATCGTCAGCAAAGTAGGCCCTGATATTTTTCTTCAAGATTTCACTTTTCTCCATGTCGACCTCCTCAAGGCAATCCTCTGAGGATTTGAAGCAAACTCTGTAAAACAAAAAATTTTGGAGTTAGCATCCTCTTATTCTAGATTTCTGTATGTCTCTGTAGGTAGGTACCTATTGGTCAAAATTATTGACTTTTTTTCCAAAATCGTTATTCAAGAGAAATAATTGCAATTTTCTTAACAGATAAATGAATCAAATTTTAATGGAGGGAATCCAGCTTGATTACAGAGTTTTAAAACTCATGCATCTTTAGCTCTATCTGAAAAAATGCCTAGAATTAGCGAACTGTTTTTGTTTTTCAGTAAAAAGAGTTGTAAATTTACAAGGAAAATGATTGCATAACTTTCATGAATTACTTATACTTAATATTTTTTAAAGTAAAGAGGAAATTGCATGGTTTGGATAAAAACACTAAAATCTAGCTTATTTCCTACAACTGAATGCAATCCTAATGATAAAACATTAATAAAATCTGTTTTACAAATAGTCACAGAGCCTTTAAGCCTGTAGATGCAAAAGAGTGGTGCAGTATTTGACAAAAAGAACATTTTTTGTGTCATTTGTAACTTAAGGCTATGAAAATTTCTTGAATGCTCAAAACATTATTCCCAAAAACTGAGTATTTTATGGAAATTTTAAGACGAAACTGTTGACAGTTCCAGAATTCAAAAGATAATGCAATGAAAATAAGCCAACATGGCTTACTTAAGTACACTAAAAATTGTGTAAAAAGTTCCCTTTTGGGTCTTGATGTACCAACTCTTAAAGGCTCTAAAATTACTTTTTAAAATTGGAAACTTTAGAAGAAAGAGAAACTCACTCAGTTAGACAGTTGAATAGGAACTGCAGCTGTTTCAGTGAAGTCTGCTCATGGAATTCTACTTGCTTGTGTAAGCTGTCCAATGCTTCATCCAACTCATTTGGCGGTAAGTTTCCAGGTGCTAATACTCGGAAACCTAAGTTTGTGAATTCAATGTTGATACCAGATTTCTTTGATTTTCCATTCACTGCAAAAATCATATGGAGTTAGTGAAGAGCAAGAAGTTGAAAAAAAAGAGAAAAAAAATCCAGAAATCAACCAACCAGGGTATAAAAAAGTAAGTTCACCAGATTTTTAACATAATATTTTGCCTCAACATGAGAGCAAAATATTGACATGATAGACGGTGGACTAAGCTACTTTTCATTGAAGTAAAAACCAATGGACAAAGTCGCTCGCTAATAAAAAAATAGAGCTCTTGCAAATCGCATGGATTCGCGATTTAAGAACATTGCCTGATGCAGAATTTGGCGAGAAACTTGAAGATGCCATTGGTTTTTTCAGGAACAAGCTCCCAAGCTCAAAAAAAGGCTCTCTAAGTTGAGGCTCTAGTGAAGGGATTGCCTGTGTTATGGTGAGAGTCCACCTCTAGACCTAGTTAAAGTCTCCAAGCATAGATAGGGAGAAATCACATCAGCAAGGTTGCCCATGCCTGGAGCCTTGTGGTCCCCACACAAAAAGGCAACCCTGATAGTATACTTGTTCTATTTCTGTGCAGGTAGAGTTTGATTAGTTAAAGAGGTAGGTTCTTACAATGACAGAAGCAATCCCCCCCCCCCCCCCACATTACAGTCTCAAAAAGATGGAGTTGATGATTTTGCCATGTGTGATAAATTCAGTACAAAACTGAAGTTCTCATCACGGAAGGAAAAATATTCCCCCATAGAGAAATACTGCTTTTTGGATGAACTTTTTCCCTGTAAAATGAGAATTTCACTTTCATATTGATTTTATTGCACATGGCAAAATCATCAACTCTGTCTAATCGACTGTCACACACACATACCGACAGTCTCTCATCTCCATAAGAAAATATGTATATACATATTTGATAGCGACCACTTGTATTGGTTTATATTATAATTTTAGGAAAAGAGCTTATTTTTAAGGAATGATCAGATGATTTTCAAAGAAGGAAAGTACATTAGTATGGAAGACAGAGAAGGTAGTTTCATTCAAAGACCTCTGCTATTTAAAATAAAAATCTTACCTTCTGTCCACATTACATTGCTCAGAGAGCGTTTAACAATACCACTATCCCAGCCAATAGAAGCTGCAAGAGAGACAACTGGAAACTCAAAACTTCTCAGGTTGGAGTTTTTCTTCTTTCTCTCTTCTGCAACAGCAACAGCTAATGGCGGACACTGAAAGAATGGAAGAAAAAACCAAAGGATTCAGAGTTAAAGAAGATGAATGTCCAAAAGTTTTTTTTTCTGACCACTGCAACTAAGAAACATTACAAAATACATTATCCTCTCGCTTGTCCAGCTTGGTTTTCACCCTACATGATTATCTAAAAACTTCATCTTTTGTAACAAGGTCCAATTGCTGATAGAAATGCTGCCTTTCCATTAATTAAAAAGGAAACTACTGACTAGGGCATTATTAAAGATAAGCAGCACTTTTTACAGGAGAATTTTTTTTGAAAAGAGCGTGATAATTTTGCATAACTTGTGTGTGCATTAAAAATGCCAGAGACAAGGGAGGCTATAAAATATAACATAATTGCATCAAGCATAAAAAACGTACTCTCATATACTGGAACCCACTTTAATCACAGTCAATAGATAGCTCTCATATACTCCACTGTGAGGCAGCTCAAATAAATTTAGGAAAATAATCAAGAAAAACGTATTATCTAAATTTTGAGCAGAAGAGAGTTGATGAAATGAAATATCCTCGAAGGTTAAATTTTAGACCTTCTGAAATAATTAAAATTGTTAACTTATAAATTAAAAAATCAAAATATTCGTTCATTCTTACCGTTTTGCAAGCTTTTCTAAGTTGCATTTCTCCACCATAGACACTAACTTTGCACATTGTGTAAGACTGCGGAAGAATATCAATCCATTTCTTGGGATGAGCTTCTAGGTAGCACAGGAGCGTCATTATATTTTCTGACGGAACATCTAACTGAGCAACAATCTCATCAATGTCGATTGCTCTTTCGTGTCTCTTGCAGGATCTTATGCTTTGCCCTGAGTTGTTGGCAGATAATTCTGCAGGACACTTACATGGCACAAACACTTTCTCCAAAAGCCTCCTTAGAGTATGCCGTGCGATTGAGTTTGCATAGATATGTCTACGTAGTTCATTCAAATCTTGACCCTTTAAATTAAAATCAAGCTTCAATTAATTATCTTTCAATGAATGAAGTTACTGAGAAGTAGAGGTTTTTTTGCGGAATAAAGAGACATCAAAAAATAAAAAAATTTGAGTTTTCATAAAATGCGCTTAAAATTTTACAGATCAAAATTTTATATTTTCTTCTAGACTTCAATATATTGAACTAAAGTTCAAACCAACTTGATGTTTAGAATAGAAGTTACAGTAAGAAAATGGTCATGAAAGTTGGTCACATCGAATGATTTTGACGTTGTTTATTTTTTCCCAACACAGCGTATGATTATCCAAGAGATAGACAAGATTAGCGTACCTTTCCTCTTTTCCTCTTTTTTATAAAAGCATCACCTTCTACTTTAGCCTTCACTGCTTCCGCTGTCAATGCTTCCTGTTGCTACAACCTGATTTTCAGACTGTCTTTTTGGGGGCTTAATCTGTCAATTTCAGAGGTTTATTTACATATTATGAAATCTATGTAATAATTGGCAATATTGATAAACAGCAGTTCTATTTCTTTTCTTTGCAAAAACTACTTGAAGCACAAAGCCAGTGTACCATAAAATAACTCTTCAATTTTTTATAACGATAAAGGACCAATGAGATTGACATTAATAGCACTTTCTTTAAAATCAGGTATTATGGAAGATAGGCTATTTACCTCAGATGAAAGGAACAAGTGGCAGTGGGCAGGCAAACCATCACGGCCAGCGCGCCCGACTTCTTGAACATAGTTTTCGCACCTGGCTGGCATGTTGTAGTGAATAATACCACGAATATTACTTTTATTGATACCCATACCAAAGGCAACTGTGGCGACAACAATCCTCACATTCCCTGGACAAAGAAAACGCAAGTTGACAACATTTCATTGGTTGAGTACTGTTTTAAGAATACTTTGTGATAAAACATCAAGCTACACAAACATAAAATGAGTCAATCAATGTGGACTGCCCGAATGACTAGTTTAAGTGTTCCCTAACAAAGGCACAAAACCAAAATTTTTGACCCACTTCGGTGATGAAGTGCTTCCCTGAAAAATGTGACACTGAAAATTGTGATCCATTATATCAAGGAAGGCAGAATGTATGTACTAAGATATGCTTCACAATTACCAGTGAACCAATAGACGAGGAGTAAATTTAAGCATTATGATATAAGTTATCGCAATAAAATTTCGAGGAGAACAAGCTTTGTACGACAAAAATCACTGAAAGTAACTCCTAACAAAGATATTAATGTATTTTGATGCATAAATTCAAATTTCCCATTCATTGAAATAAGACCATGATCTACATGAGTTAAATTGCACACTAAGAGTTACCGTGACAGTCTTTTCAATATGATAATATGACAACCTCGAGTCCTAAACCCGACGCTTTATCTCAGCTGTTGCACACTGTTTACACTTTGGAGGACACAGGGTAGAGAAGGCACACTGCTCATTGAGAAGCCTGTCAAAACCGTTGCAGTGCGCGATTTAATTGAAGAAGACTCTGATTTTTTATGTGAGCAGAAATTCAAATTATTCGCGACCAATGCTGAATAAAACCCTAAATATCTTGGTTGGAATTTTTGCCGTGCAAGTCATCCTCAACGTGAAATTTTGAAGAGGAACCATGTACCAGAATGCTAAAATTCGAACCTTCTCCAAGGGTCTATGATTCAAGTGAGTAAACAATTCATTGAAGAAAATTTACCTTTCATGAAACCATTTTGTACTTGCTTCCTCCTACCAGAGCTCAGACCAGCATGGTATGCTTCAGCAGTCCATGATAAACTGCTCTTTTTGATGTGAGCAGGTTTTGGAATGTCCTAAGCAATCAAATAAAGAAGAGTCTTAAAGAATTAATGAAGAATTGTTTGGTTAAACAAGAGATGTTAATGAGAATTTTCAAGACAATGGTATGTGATAAAATCCTCCGGATTTTTTACAGATTACTTCACCTTCGAGCCAATGAATACAATAGAGGGAGAACAGTTTGCCTTAAGAAGCTATCACACGCACAGTCCGACTGTACAATCAATGAAATTTGCAGGCTAAATGGACAGTCGGCAATGGCCCACTGCTGATTGTACATTCTCTGTGCATAAGCACACTGGCAATTATACAGTCGTGGAATGGACAAGAGATAGCTGCTTTATCTGTTTTGATATTAGGAGACATAAATTCGGCTTGCACAACAACTCACAGAAATTTGAAAATTTTTTGACACACATGCAGCTATAATGTATCACTCTTGTCGAAGGCTTTTCTGACGCTCTGAACAACCATCATTAGCTATGTTCTAAGCGTGCGAAATGTATCTGACAGAGGTAATAATTTGTACATGTGAGTGGGTAAAAAATTTATCATCTCCTTAATTTATTGTGTACGTACAAATTCGTAAAAAGTCAATTAGATGATGGAAATGGATTAGATGGGCGCAAATGGAATGAAAACAATTTTACTCCATACCACCAAATCATTTATAATAATTGAGATAAAACATTGAGAGAGTAGGTCGACAAAGATGCTACCTAACATAAGAGACTGAAAGTTGTCTATTTTGTATGGAGAAGTGCCCAAGTGATACCTTGAAACCAAATAAATAAATGCGAGTAAGACATTGGAATTTTTTTTTTTGAAAAAAGTTACCAGTTTTAAGGTTTATCAATTTTTTAAAGTTTCAACAGATGCTTAAGTCTTATTTTGCAACTCAAAATTTCTGGGGGGCAATTTTTTCATCTCTAGAAATAATCCTAGGATATCCTAATGCCCATTGCAAATGTAAGAAGGCCTGACATTAAAGTACATAACTAAAAAGGATCATTGTGCACAATATCAGGTCCAAGTAGTTGGTCTGGTATGGACATGTGCGAAGGATGGCAGGTGATTGGTTGCCCAAGCAGGTTTTCGATTGGGTTCCTCCCTGAAGGCGATGGCATGGACTTACTGGACGTCCTGTGAAAGGTTGGGGACAGGGAGGGAGGGAGGAGATCAGAAGGCGCCAATTGCCTGATGATCTCTGAGAGGATAGGGGGCAATGGCAATTGGGCGTCCCAGAGCGCGAGGCTGCACTATAAAGGCGGCTTCATGTATGTTTTGAAAATAAAAAGGAAATGATCAATAATACTTATGGTAGAAATAAACTGATAGAAAAAATACATACTCTCAGAGTTGTTCTCAGAAAAGCAGCTAGTCTTTCACACTCCTCTCTCCGCGTGCAGTACACAACAATGCAATCAAAAGAAGAAAATCGAGGTCCTTGCAGCAGTTTCAGCAAAGCTGAGTCTCGATTTTCATCTCTTGACACGGAAAGAATCAAGTTATCTGGCAGAGGAATGTCCCTGATGACACCACTTAGACCATCACTTATTCCAAGGTGAGTCACTATGCTTTCAATTGTTGGTCCGGTGGCAGATGCAGTCAGGCCTAAAATAGTCTTGACCCCCATACGCTCTCGTAATACCTGATAAAAACATTTGCCATGAGAAATTTCGATGCAACAGTAAAAAAGTATGGCAGAATTTGTAAATGGGACACTGAAAAGGATGCCATCACTCAAATTGCAATGCAAAATATTATTCTTATCCGATGGTCCTTTATTCTCAATGATGAAATAGAAATCAAACAAAATACTGTCAATTAATAGCAAGCATGCCCTACAAGTTTCTTTGCCGGGATGTGAGCTCCCCTATTTTGATTTGGATCTCTCCAAGACTAGAAGGAAAATGTCAGGAGGTTGCACTGATGATGGGTTCAGTTGGACCGAAACACATCTTAGTTGCCCTTTTGATTGGTTTAAACTAACATTACTTCAAAGAACAAAGTATATCTTCATAAAGGGGAAAAATAAACCGAGTGAATCTTTTCTTCAATAAGGGAGTACGTTGTGAGATGTAGATAATAACGACACTCTGACCAATCACCTTTATGCTTCCACTGACTGGTGCATCTAATTACCTCTGTTCTTTGAAAATTGGTGCGGCAAACCTGCATGAAAAAGACTATTACTTGTCAATTTTATAAAAAAACCAAAAATTGAAGAGAAGTCGGGGAAAGTTACATTGACTTCAGATAAATCCAATGAGGAATTTGAAAAAAAATATTAGTTATCAATGTCATCATCAATACAATAATACCTTGATTGTCTAGGAGATCGCTGTGGAGGCCTGAGCTGGATACCATAAAAGCCCAACAATCAAAATTGCAAAAAAACATGTAAAATATGTAAGAAAAAAAACTAAGAAAAAAAAGAAATTAACGCGTAAATATGCCTCATTGTTGAGCCAGATGAGTGATTAGTGGATCATTTAGGTATTATAGTATTGTCCTTGGAGAAGTCAAACGAAGGTAATCTGCCGTGCCTTGATAGAATAACATTATTGAGTAAATGATGGAGTGTGGAAAAGGAAAGAAAAATATGAAACTATGTAGTCCAAAACTACGGAATTGATTGTAATAAAGTCTCTTGCAACTCTCTTTCAAATGCAAAATCAATGCATTGCCATTCAATTTTGGTTCAAAAAAACACCATAGAATGAATGGAATTACAACTCCAGCCATTAATCTTACCCTGCAAATCATCAAATAGGACGGCCTGAAATTGTGAGACCACATGGAAACACAGTGGGCCTCATCAATACAAGCAAATGCTATCGGAGGAAGGAATCGCAAAAATCCATTGTTAGCCATACGATCGCTGGCAACAACTGCTTCAGGTGAAACCAGTAATACATTGATTTCTCCATTCTTTAAGCGGTCCAAAATTTTGTTCTTTTGTGCTTCATTTTGATTAGTGTGAAGACAAGCTGCGTTGCAGAAAGATGGTATCCTAAGAATCTAAAATAAAAAGAGAGAACATTCATTCATTTCATCATCAATATTTATGGTATTAAGGCTTCAGTACAGGTCATAACAGAAAAATTATGAAAGATAATTGCCATGATGTCAAATTATGTATAAATTGGATCTTTGTAGCTTTCTAGTAAATAATTTGCAAATTCCTTTAGTACATTAAATAAAATTCACGTAGACCATACTGCCCCTCTGCTGCAATCCATGACCCATGCATTGATAACAATAGTCATCGCGAGTTTGATTGCTGAAAAGTTGATTATGGAATCTGTATGGATTTTTAGCTCTGATTTTGAAAATGACCTCCACATTTCTGAATTACTATAAAAACCCACTTACTTGATCTTCCATCAGAGAAATGAGTGGAGACACGACGAGTGTAATGCAATTTGATCTTCGGGCATACATGAAAGCAGGTAGCTGATATATTAGTGACTTTCCAGCTCCAGTGCATAAAGTGACTAGTGTGGATTTACCGGACAGAATTCGCATGACAGCTTCTTCTTGTCCTGGCCGGAACTGTTTGTGGTCAAATTCTAAAAGAGCGTCTAGAACTTCTAAAGGAGTATCTGAAAAATAATTGCTCAAATATTAGACCAAATGTGGTCGGGGAGAGTAATAGAAGGGGAGATGTGGTTTCTGGAGAAATTCCACAGACTCCTACCTGCATTGGTGCTAGCTTTGGTTAAAAATAATGACAATATGATATTCTGTAGTTATTTAAAATAATCATACCTTTCAACCTTCTGATTGGCAGAGCTTTTTCCCAAAAGAGGAAACAAATTAGTTATTTTTCTGAGCTTGATGTATTACTGCAATTGGCAGTAAAATGAGAGTGGACCTCAGCAGGGATTCAAATCTGATTCTGGAGGATGATGGGCCGAAGGGTTCAAAAAAAACTTTCTCTCAAAAGTCAGAGGGGGCCACACAGCTATGAGTATTGTTTTGGCGACAGAAGCTCGACCTCTGAAGCACTTGAGAGCTCAAGAAAAGACCAAATAAACAAAAGATGGTTCATATATAAGAAAAATGCTGAGAGAAATTTGATCAAAACGCGATTACCAATTAAAGAGCCATCCTCATTTGTTCCAAAGTAGGGTTCTACATGTGAAAATTTGTCAACTAGTTCTTCGGGAGGTGGGGCAACAGTATTTTCCAATTCATATGCTGTCTGAACCGTTTGAACCTGAAAAAGATCAATAGTTGAATCCAAATGATGTACATAGGTAGACATCGACATAAATTATGAGAAGAAAATTTTCCACGGCTACAAAATGACATGTGATATTGTACCAAAGTATTTTAGTTGATGCACCTAAGTTGCTAACGCCATTGTAGATATAATGAAACGAGGATTTGGTAAATTAAGTAATACATTTAGCACAATTTTTATGGCCACTTTGCTGATAAAATGCATTTCACTGTATGTTTCTTTTGGCAGCTATAGTCATAAAATAACAATTACACTGGCGGAAATATTCAATTCTCAACTTCTTGACAAGAACTCGTCATAGTCTCTGCTTTTCAAAGATTTCTTCTAATCATGAAAAAGCTGTGAAGGCAGCTTGCACTCAGGAATACAGAATCTTCCGAGCTTCCATATTTTCACACACCCACTCGCCGGTTTTCCACAATGTTTCCCTTCAATCTCCTAAGTTACGACCTTTTTCTTCTTTTGTCTTACAATTTCCATCTTTTGACCCTTGACATTATTCCCTTTCTCCACACTGAGAAGGGCCTCCCCCTATTTTCACAAGCCGCGGCAGGCGTAAGATCGAGCATTTTCTGCATCCCTACTTGGACTGAATTTCTGCTTGCTGTGATATACGGGGTATCTAGAAAAAATACTCTTAACTTCTCAAAAGCCAATATGTTAATGATACTGATATTTACACTAATAAGGATTAAACTTAAAATTTTGCACTGTTCATCACAAGAATGGCCCATAAATTCTAAATATGTACAACTCGTGAACAATTCAAAGTTTTGGAGATAACTGCAGCTATTATATGAAAGAGAGGATGGAAAGGCTCCAAAATTTGCAACATCTACCAAGAATTGTTGTTCATTTGTCAGAGAATTCCATCCAGTGATGAGATTTTGAATTTATACTAGATGTGTTTACTTATAAAAACTGAAAAGTTACAATTTTCCAGTTTTCGTCATCTCTTCATTTTCTGATTCCCTGATTTTTCCCAAAGTATTTTTTTTTAACTGGACTAAAAATGTTTCAAATTCCCTGACTTTTCCTGCGAATTTTCCAACTGTCCCTGACTTTTCCAGATCATCGTAAATTCCCTGAGCCTGACTTTCCAGAATTTCCCGACTGCTAGAAATCTTGAATTTTAATGACAATCATTTGATTACAGCTTCTTGAAAAATTTTGCTTGGCGGGTTCATGCTGGAAAATATCTCATACAAGAAAAGTCAAATCACAATTGCGATAAAAGCTACTAAGTTAATTGTAGAGAGACAAATTATAACTTTTACCTTGTCTCGGTTCATTTGATTCTTCCTCAAATGAGCCGATTCTTTCATTTCATTGGCTATTTCTTCAGCTTCTTCTAGTGTTGGGAAAGGACAGTCAAGTTCATCGTCACCCTCTTCCTTGGGTAAAAGAATTTGACCTGATAAACAAAGGAAAAAGTAGAAGTTAAAACTTGATTTTCTGATAACCATTTAATGACACTTTGAAGAGTTTCAGGATAAAAGAGGAAACTCTTCATTAAACATTTCAATTCTGAATTTCTGAAGGAATATTTTAATTATTTTTTAACTTCTTTTTTTTAAAGTACAGCGTGAAAGATTTTTTCTTCTCTTTGGATCAGATTCAGAATACCCAAGCAGCTTAACCATTTTTATTAAAAGGGACCTAAAAAGATTCTTTTCTCAGAAAGTACAAATTGGACTAGATTTCACGATAAGAAACTACTATTTTCGGCTTAATTTAGAAACCATTGGATACCATTATGTGCCATTGGATTATCTGTGTTGATAGGTGCTTTTGCGGATGAGTCAGAAATAGGAGTTCCTCATTACAAGATCCAGTCCAATTAAAAGGACTAAATTAGAAAATTTTTGCGGTTATTTTCTTGAAAATAGAGTCTTAGAAAGCAGGTCCTGAGGTTTTGCACAGAACTTTGGGTGATGAGATTTCCCACAAAACACAGAAACTGCCTTCCAAAAATTCTACATGAGGAAGTTATGTGTTCCATTCATGACATTTGGACGTATTTCTGTCAAACAGACCTAAGCGCCATAGGGGGAGGAAGGTAGAGGGGGGCTTGGATTGGCAGCGGATCCGGGCGTCAAGCTCATTCCGTCCTATACTCGCAATGCTTTTCCGAGGCGCTTAGTTCCGTTTGACAGAATGCTCTATCCGCCATTCTAAATTCCTCTAAAGGAACTCCAATTGGCGCTTAGTTCCGTTTGACAGAAATACGTCCATTTGTGTGCATGTGTGCTAGCTGGGGTACATATTTTTATTTTCTAGACACTCACAAGTGTATTCATGAAATTAACATTTTACTAATGATTGTTTTAACAAAGTGGTGCAATAATATAAAGTCCATTACCTTTACAACAATCTTTGGCCCAATGTCCAATCTCATTACATTTGAAACAAGTTTGAAAATCACCATCAGACGTAAAGCTCCGGCCAGTTTGGTAATTCTGCAATTTTTTCTTTGCCTTCCACTGCTGTTTCTTATATTTTGAGTTTGTCATTGTTTTCTTACCACGTACAAATACTTTCTTTTGGATATTAATGCGAACAAAATTTTCATTTGCTTTACCACTTGCAAGTTTTTTTTTCAATATTTCTTCTTTCCGCTTGTCAATATGTGAAATCGGTGACTCTTTAATTTTTTGGTTCTTGAGAGGCACATTAGCAATGGGCGAAATATTTGGAGAACTTGTGGAGTCAGTCTCTTTGAGTCGTTTGAACAACCTACATTCCATGAAACTATCATCGTTTGTACACTGTCTTTTTCTGCTTTCTGCACCAAGAATACCAGTATCCTTGCTAAGTTCTGTGGAGGTTTCTGCTTTAAGGGAGAAATCATGCACGAAGTTTGACGATCGACTGATTTCACAGCTGCTAATGTTTTCAACATGGTTTTCGGTGGCTTCTGTTGGATTAGGCTTGGATACAGACTTATTTTTGAATGAACTATTACTAAACCTGAAATTACTTCTTGACCTTTCTCCCTCTGAGTCACTGTCAAAAACAAGATCTTCATCACTACTGTCATCGTCATCAATGGACGGATCATCATGAGATATTCCAACTTTATTTTCTGAACTAAAATTATTTTTATCACAGGGGTTGTTGTCAGTGTTGAGACTGGAGGTATTTCTACTAAAGACAAAGTTGTCAGGTGAGAATGGACTAGCTTCAAATGTACTGGCCGATGAGTTTTGAGTTGAGGTATTGACATTACTATCAGAGACATCAATACCAGAGTCGAAAGAATTCTGTTTCATCAAATCTATGCTACTGCGTACATTGCACCTCTCAAGCCATCCTTTGTCCAACTTTCTACTGCAGGTTAAATTAGAAGGAACTGTTTCCCCAATGAGAGGTTTAGGAACATTACTCAATGTTGGATTAGATTTTTTAATACTCACATTACTAATTACGGAGTTAAAAGGAACAAGATCTTTGACTAAATCATCAAGGTCTCTAGTCATTGATTCACTCTCGCCGTCGGCCATTACTTTTTCTGCTCCTGATTGTTTGTTCAAGTCTTTTTTTAAAACTGGAAATCCATCTTCATGGTTTGAAGATGCAGGCTCTTTACCGGACAATTCTTCTTTTTTTAGACTATTAAGTCGAGAAAATGATTTGATTTTTCTGGGATTTTTTTTCTTGAATTTAGAGCCAACAAACAGTTTTTCTAGAAAGTGGGACGAAACAGATTTCGTCAGACTTTTTGATTTTTTAGCTGCTTCCATGGTTTTGTTCAGGTGTGATCCCCAACCTTTGTCATTTAATTTTTCTAGGTCGTTTTTATCAGTGGTGGAATTTCCTGGGTTACATTTTACTTGTTCCTTTGGGCAGTCCATGTTACTTGAATCCAACTCTTTTAATAAGCTAAACTTCCCAGAGCTGTCTTCAGATTTACTATGCTGCTCAGGCATTTCTAAAAACTTGGAGCAATGGACATTATCTAGGTTGGACTCTTTCAGAGGATCGGCTTTTCTTAAACAATTGTCAATGATATTCGATTCTGTATTCCCTTCTGTAGCTGAATGCGAAATTACTGGAGATTTTTCTTTATTTTCATGCAGTTGAGTAGAGATTCTTGTGTCTCCAGGATGAACAAAACAATCATTCTCAAGATTATGCGTCCTCTCCTGACTGTGATCTGTTTCTGGAGATGTAGTTTGCTCTTTTACCCTTAAATCGTCAGTAGTAAAATCATCATTAAGTGAGCAGTCATCAAAAGTAGAATCCATAAAAGACTTTTCCAATTCATTGGTTTTGAGCATCCAGTATTTTTTGTACGCAGCTTTAATGTCTGATGGTGCATTTTTGATGTCATTCTGAAAAAGAGAAAAGAAGAAGCTATTTACAGACTAAAATAAGAAAAAGGCATGAAAGATGACAGCTGTTGTCACTAAAAACTTTACAATTAAATCGTTTTGGGCAGATACGTTCAATGTTTGATACATTATAAAAGGCAGTGCTAGGTTATTATTTATTTACGATTTTAATACTTAAATGGTTCAGTATATAAATACCTGTGATGTACAGCCAAAACTTGTGGAAAATAATGAAAAGGAACAAACAACCAATATACTTCATCAATATCTTTTAATGTTTCACCTTGTGGACAAAAAATAGTAATGTACTTTCAACAGATATTTTACTGCAATAACACACTCGCTGGCAAAGAAAATGTGACACCAACGGTTCCTGACCAAAAGATGCTTTCTTGAGTATAGCAAGGTTAAAAATTTCCAAAATTCAAAATTCTGCTTTCCAGACAGTTTCTTTGGAAGTAAGACTTGTAGGTCTTTTTATGTATTTTGGTTGTAAATCACTTAGCCAGATATACTATTCCTGCCAAAAAGATGACTATTGTCTCTGTTTGAATTGCAAATCAAATAAAAAAATCAAAAATAAAAATCAAGTATGTCTAAATCACCCTGGCCTGTTGCCTGCTAGAATGCTTTAAGCCCCTTCCTAGAAAAATATAGCAGAATATTGGTGGTCACGAAACTACCTATGTGTCTCCATCCCGAAGTTTCACAATTTACACTCTCATATTATTTTTTCGGGAAAAACAAGCAGCTTGAGATTTATACTGAATAAATATCCTGCTAACAGAAGGGAAAAATCAGGAAATTTTGAAAAAAATAAGGTGGCTGGTTTTCCAAAGAAAAAATAAAGAATGAAAGGAAGTCTATACGCAGCAGACAGAAATACGATGTTTTGCACTTTGGCCATTGATACTTCAGTTCAATATCTTTAGAGCTCATGAAGATCGAATGATCCCTTGCTCTCTTCTCCCTTCCAGAAAAAATGTTTAGCCTTCATCGAAGTTTCTGGATTCCTCTCAGAAATTGGTTCTTCTCATGAACTCTTTCACAGTAAAAATAAATTATTGCTTTAGGGATGAAAAATAAGGGAGTAAGTAAAGAACATACCCTGTTGGGGTTGTTTCCATGAACTTTTTTGAAATCACTTTCCCACTTCTTCACGATCAACTTGTATTTTGAGGTCTTGTTGAAGATAGTCGTCAGAATTTTTTCGCTGGACTCCATGGCTGTATGTTGTAGTTTATTTCTACATTTGGAAAATAAAAAACATGTTGGGTTTTAAGAGATAGTTTAAAAATTACAGACTGTAAAAACAAATTACAGGTGTCTAAGTCACAGAAAAAGATATATATTGATTCGATTAATGCATAGATAACGATGGAATATTGCACACAATAATAGGCAGAAAAACCATGAAGTTCCTTCATTTGTAGCATTCATCTGGCTGTAAATTTGATTGTGAACAAGTATCGGCAGTGATCACCATTTCAACATATTGCATGGATAATTCAATTCGAGTGAGGTTTTAAAGATTTCTGATTATTACGTGGGTGAAACTTCACTTGAGAGGAGAACGTTAAAGTATTACTGCTCCTATAAAATCATGCATAATGAATTACCGAACAATTAGTTCTGTTCGATAAGATACAACTTCGGGACAAAATGGAATATTGCATACTTTGCACACATGCATGCACAGAGGAGAATTAGTCAAAGTAGTAAGACAGCTGAATTCCTACATTCTGCTTCTACATGCTCTAATTTTCACCTGGCACCAAAAATGTCCAAGATGACTAGGATTTTGCTGCGACAGTTGGAATGTGCGATGCTTATACATTCTCAAGGATGAGAATACTCCACAATTGGATAATCCTAATTAAATCAGCTGTTGATAATTGGACATATTTCTGTCAAACAGAACTAAGCGCCATAGGGTGAGGAAGGTAGAGGGGGACTTGGATTGGCGGTGAAACCGAGCGTCGGGCTCATTCCATCCTATACTCGTAATGCTTTTCCATGGCGCTTAGTTCCGTTTGACAGAACGCGCTATCCGGCATTCTAAATTCCTCAAAAGGAACTCAAATTGGCGCTTAATTCCGTTTGACAGAAATATGTCCAATTGAAGAACAGAATTACACTTCTAGCTTTAGAAGGAGATGGATAGCAATGCTGATAATGCTTCCTCCTACCATCACAATTTGGACTGCATTCACCGAAAGTGAGCATGCACAGAAAATAGACTTTGAACTTAATTTGGATTTTGAATGATAAAATTTTAATGCTCTTGAAAAATCCTTCGTCACCAATATTGAAATGATAATACTTGAACAGTTTTAGGTATATATTGCAAAGGACAAAACCGACCTCAGTGACAACACCTCAATGATGAAAGATTAGTCCATCTTTATGTGTTCACGAAGATGGAAAATGTGTATTCATTGTAGATTTTCAGGGATAACTTATTTTTGGAGTAAAATTGATTAAACTGCACGAAATAAACGATAAATGAGGAGGATATATCACTCCATTTCCCTCGGTAAAATTATTCACTCAACTTCCATTATCATTCAGGATAATAAAAGTAAATAAACCGATTTCCCGCTCTTTCTGATAAGAAGTTTTTATAACTTTGTTCAGCTTCATCTGATTGATGGCAGATGGCCAGCAGATGGCTACTGATGACGTATTTAACTATACAAGATGGCTCATCTGATCTCAACGGCCAAGGGGGCCCGCTGCCGTTGCCGACGAGAATCACAACAGGCGTACAAGGCTAATCACTAAAAAAACGCTTCTATTTTTAGATTTTCAGTTTACATTTATTTGAGGTTATGTTGCGTGAGTTGCGTGTCTTGGATTTTATCATTTATCACCTAATGAGTTAGTGAATAATTTTCAGTTTTTCCAAGCGTGTTCACGTTCACGGAAAGAGTTTCATAATTTAATCATGATCGGTGTCGATATCCCTGAGGAGCTTAGCTCCTTTATCTTCAAAGTGAATTCAGAACAATTAGTGGGCTCCTTCAATCTGTCTGTTGCCACTGTAGAACTGCTGAAAAACTATGTGATGCAATCAAACTGGAACTCTGCTCAAGATTTAATTGATCTAATAACCAGAAACGGTAAAATTTTAATTACTGCTTTACCAAGACATTCATCAGTAGGAAATTCAGTGCGTCGAATATTAAAAATTATCAGGGAGGAGTATTCAACCCTCCATCGAAGTAAACAAGAAGAATCCGATCAGCAGGAATCATTGCACAAAATAGTTAAATCGGAAGGTGGTGTAGATGATTATACTACGATTGTACCTGAACTCAAAAATGCAATTCTTGATCACATCAGCGAATTTCAAATGGAACTAGAGACAAGCGGCGACAATGTTGCGCAGCAAGCTAGAGAACACATTCATGCCAATGAGATCATCCTTACCCTTGGCCATTCGAGATCTGTTGAAGCATTCTTGAAGAGAGCTGCTCTAGACCGTAAGTTTGAAGTCATCATTGCCGAAGGAGCACCATCAAATCAAGGACACAGTCTTGCGGCAAGTTTAGCCAAGAATAAAATCCAGACTACTGTAGTGTCTGATGCTACTATTTTTGGTATCATGTCCAGAGTCAACAAAGTTATACTTGGTACGCACACAATTATGGCGAATGGTGGTCTGAGAGCAATTAGCGGGAGTCATGCTGTGGCTTTGGCAGCAAAGCACTATTCTGTTCCAGTTATTGTCCTTGCTCCAATGTATAAATTAAGCCCTCACTTTCTGTGTTCATATGATAGGGATTTCTTTAATACGTTTGCGTCGCCTGAAGGCGTTTTAAGTTACTCAGAAGCGTCTATTTTCAAAGGTGTTCATATTTACAATCCAGTTTTTGATTATGTACCCCCTGAACTAATAACTCTTTTAATATCTAACATTGGTGGACATGCACCCTCATACTTTTATAGGTTACTAAGTGAACTTTATCATGCAGATGATAGCGATCTATAATTTCTTTTGTCATAAGTCAAAATTAGCAAAGAGTTCTCTTTTTGTGGTGAAATGGCTTGCAATTGCAATTGCACTCCAACATAGATTTTGAGTGAGAAGAATGATATCTTAAACTGGAAAATCTTATTGTGTGGTGGTGTATTTTTTTTTTTTTTTTCAAGTTCTTCTTTATCAAAGGAGATTTATTTGTAATTTTGTTACCGAAAAACTGTATCTAACAAGTGCAGATCCACAGATTTTATGGCGGTTTGATAAGAATTCTGTTGATCATTCCGAGTGAAGAGCCGGGGGAAAGGACCACTGATCTTTGGAACTCCAATCACAACTCCGTTATGAAAGTATAGCAACTTTGTCATATTTACTGAGTTAGTCACTCGGCCAATATATGTTTCTCAAGTGAGGACTCATTCAATTCTGTCCACCTCTTTATAGATTAAGGGAGAGTTTGAGAAGCTGAAGCCCCGGGCAGAAAGTTACCGAGACAAGGCGGTAGATTTCAAAAGTGACTGTCTTTTTTTTCTTTGCTCTTCAACCTGTTTTGTCGCGAAGAAAAATGACACAAAATTAAACTGCAAAGAAATAATGAAAGTCATTGCTTTTGAAATCTGGAGGCAGCAAAATCGTAAATCCAGCCCTGTATCCATACCTTTATACAACAATCTCTAAAAATTTTGTCAGAAAAATTGAGTAATCTTACAATGTTGAAAAATTGTATCCTCTGATAATATGATTTATTTTCACCAAATAGTTTTTAATAATTTCCTGTACCTATTTTAAAATTATTCCTCTGTCACAAAATATTTTATGAATTCCGGTTTCCTCTTATTGTTAGTGTTAATAATGAATTAATTCAGGTTGTTTCAGCAATTTTATGTTTACTAATTTCTGATTCTCTATGGAACTGTCATCGCTATTCTGAAAGGAAATTACAGTTTGCAACTCCATTTTAATAAATTTAAAGTTGACAGATTCAGTTTTCCCCAGGATTTCTCCCTACCTGCCTCATATTTGTTATTTTCCTTTTTGTGTTTCCCTTCAGATTCAGCATTAGAAATTAGTATGTTGTCTAGGCAAGCACTTTGAGACACCAGTATCCAGTTTATCACTTCAAAACTATCTTTTTCTTAAATTTACAATTTTTAAACTTAAGCAGTCAGATTGTTTCATTAAAGAGAATGCGGGGAGGTTGAAGATTGAACCTCCTGTTTTTGCGCGTAAGCTCATGATATTTCCCAAAAGTACACTGTAAGTGACCCCTATACATAAAGGTCCCAAACTCTGAGAGGCCTCTAAAATTTTTATATTCCTCAATACAAATTATTGGAATTTAAAAGCCATTGTGTGGAACACAGAGTCCAGCATTGAGCACTAAGTTTTGTCATTTTCTCATATGATGTATAACCTTTCGAGCATGATGAGCTTCAAAAATTAAACCATTCATTTGCTGAGTTTGAAAGGAACTTGCTTAAAGTGAATTAGTTACCACTTTCAAAAGCATTTTCTCTTGTAAATATGGCTCCATTACTAAGTTGGATTTGCGGACAAGTGGAATTTGCCTTGCTTAGAAATTGATGTAATGCTGCGCCACACTCTGTCATCATACGGCAAAATTTTGGTTCTTCTCTAATAGCTTTTTTCTCAAATAAAAAATGTACGGGCACAACACAGTTGTCTTATTCAGTGGCGTGGCATGAGTTGCGATGTATCGATTGTTGTGCCATTTAAACCTATGGTAAAGAATCGATTATTACCCTGTTTATCGATCCTTTCTTATAGGTTTAAATGGTATAACTCATATTACAAAAAAACTTTAGTTAACACTGAACTCTTTTATATTCCATGCGATGTTGTTTAAGCCAAAAATTTTACCTCTCTAAAGAGATTTTATCAGATGAAACTTTTTTTATTAACATCTTGCATTAATGTAAAATCGGTCTGTGATCAGAATAAAACAGATAAAATTTCTCCTGGTGTCTTTGATAAAAACCCAAATAAGCCAAGTACGTGTAGCTATGGTGTCGTTGCCTCGACCGGGCTGTGCTGTGTTGCCAATTGTTGGAGGATAGGTTACCTGCCCGGATGTGGCTGCCGCCACTCATGATATTTTACGTTGTATTAATGGGAGGAAAAAGAGAGAAAAGAAGAATCCAAAAGAATTGTGTAAGTAACTACTCTGAAAACCTAAATTTGTAGACTCAAAAATGTACCTAAAGCTCAAAGTGCTCGGCTTTTGACTAGTACGAATGAGAGAAAAAAACTAATGAGTAAATGAGGGACCAAAGTTTATTAATTAATTAGCATTCACTAAATTTTACAAATGTTAACACAGATAAAGATTGAGGTTTCTTGCAGAATAAAAAATTCCAGATTGTTTGATCTGGTGGTGCATGATGGCTGAAGCTCTAATATTTTAGATCCAGCCCGAGGCTTTTCAAGAATAGGTACATTGAAAAATGTATGTGAACAAATAATCATCAACGAATTCAGTAATTAAAAAAGTTTAGACAGCAATTAAAGCAGATATCAATTTTAATTACAAGTACGCAGACTCAAGCACTGCTAGAACAATGCTTAAGTGGAAAAAAGTGCAGCTTTTAAAAATTAGTTTTAACAACTTTCACAGAGAGACTTTTCCGAAACATATTAACTCAAATTTTCCGGGCAGAAATTCTGAGTGCAGATCACTATTCAGGTAATTCAATACCATTCTTTTTGCAAATATCATTAAAGCTACCGATGGCAAATTTAGAGGTTAAAAAAAATTAAAATATGAATTTTGTTCATCACTAGGAGAGAAATTTTACAGCTGTCTTCAAGGAGATAGAAAGAAAATAAAAGCTCAGAAAAAAATTAAGATTGACGGAATATTGCCAGAGAAAAGTTTCCCAATAATGAGACCGATAGTAAAAATATAACTGCTCCAATTATCATTGATAATTGCTCTAGAGTCGCATGTTAAATTCTGCAGAGATTCCATTATATTTTAATTGCTCTGTGAGAAGGAAACGAGGCAATCAGCAAAACATAGAAGCAAATACAATTCTTCTTTGGGCACCAAAAGGCAAGAAAAGTGGACTTCTTAAAAATTTACCTATGAGATTAAAACTTGAGATAAAATCAATCCAGATAACATAAACACCTAAACATGAAATATAACTTCTAACATCAAACAGATTACTTCTTGAATGAAATAACCATACCACAATGTCATTACATAATCAAAGAGTTTCTTGCAATTAAAGTTAGCTTCATCGGAAATCAAAGACAGAAATCTTAGGTTTTTATGGATGAATAAATTCTTTGTTCATGATTACTAAGTAATTACTGAGAATTCATCAGAGCTTTTGGTACTTATTTAGAAGGTTCTGAATTGACTTTCCATTTCACCTCAGGGCATGTAATTGTAAAAAAAAAGAAGATAAAAGCACATTGTTCTCACTATTGCAAAATTACTAGACTATGTAAAGACAGTGGAGAGAAAAAAAAGAAAAAAGAAAGATCAATTACAGTCTAATACAGTGAGTAGCCAACTGAATAAAGGAAAGGCAAAGGGGCTTATTTAAGCGGTAGAGAGAGCATTGTTTCAATCAAGATTGCTGACAAGAGGCAGAAATTTAAACACATAGCGTCTTATTGATTCAGTTCGAATTGAAGTGAGTGGAAAAAAAAAAAAAATGATCGAATACAACAGAAATAAAAAGAAAAAAAAACTATTGCAATGGAATGTCAAATTGACTGTATCATGACAAAAGAAAGGAAGAAAAAAAAAATTGCCGATCATAATACATCTGATTGTCGTGTGAACTTTTTCTTCCATGAGGAACTCTTAATTAAATTCAGGGTGTCTACAGACTCAAGGGAAAAAATTCCTTGATTTTTCTCATCAACAATTTGCAGGCCTGGAACTGAAAATTAAAAAAAAATTTGGAACTCATTTTACTACGATTTTCTGAAACATGTGAACCCTTTTTCTTTAGACATTAATAATTAAAAAAATAATAAAAACTGCAATTCCTCCTCGAGTATTATTCCTCTGTTAACTATTCTGAATGTAACTCGGAGCTGACTTTTCCCAGTATTCCCTGATCTGACAATTCCTGATTTTCCAGACCTATGGGCACCCTATAAATTATAGAAATCATCTAACGCCTTTGCAAGTCCCTTCTTTTGACTATTTTTCTCAACTTTCCAGACAAATACAATGTTGACTTTGCCAGCCCCAATCTTAAAAATGTACTTTTAAATCAAAATTGAAATTTGAATTGAAGAAAATTTAATTTCTTCTAGCACCTTTATCAGTTATATCTCAGATTGAATGGGTAAAACATGCATCATTAATGAGTAATGTCTTTCAACAGGTCATTTCTCAAAATACTAAAAAAAGAAGATATTTACACGAAACTCTTATTTTCACAACTTAGATTCTAAAATCATCTGACACCATTTGATTTTTGCGTTTCACAGTCTTAAAACTTTTTCTTTACAGATACTGATCAAACCATCCACAAAGTTTCAGGCAGAGATCGGAAAAAGTTGAACCAGTAGAGCATAATCTATGGCTAAATGCATATCATTTCTCAATTGCAATGTTTAAAAAATATCCAATTATATTTCCTTTCTTTCAGGAAAAATAATCAAACTTTCTCCTGACAATTTGAGTGACTTTTTTTTTTTTAGAAGGAGTAAAGTAAAATCACAGAATCTTCAGAAGAAACTGTGGGTTAGTTTTCTTTTAAATGGAAGTAAGACATAAGCGGAGACTTCTATGATAAGCATTTTTCAACTTTAGCCATCATAATGCTTCAAGAAGAGCAACATTCTGGTTACCAAAAAAGTGAGGTGTAAGTGATATTAAACAGAAACTTGGTACTGATAAAAAATATTCAGAAGATAAGAGAAATATGTGGCTTGCCAATAAACACTAAAACAAATAAAATTGCAAAAAAAGAAAAAACTAAAGGAACTTATAACAGGGAGCACAGTCTATGTGAACAAAAGAGAATTTATCAAATGACCTAATTTACGTTATTTTAGAAGTTTATAGGATTGAAATATAGAAAATAAACTTCATGTAACTAGAAATGTTTGAGATGAGAGCAATAAGGCGTATTCATCCTTCAATTAAGGGTTGCTCCAGAAGTAAGTTTCTGTATTTTTCTCCACCGAAATCATTGCATTCTATAGAATTTTGTAAAACAATGTCTCTATGTCATGTCTTTCTTGGTAATGCACATTTGAATGGGAGCTTAAGACACTCAACTTTAAGCTCTTCCTTTGTTAGTTGAAAGCGTTTATAGAAATCCGAAGAAGTTCTTGTACTTTCTAAGTACTGTACTTCTTCTACTGTAAACTAACTGCTTTTTCTAATTTTTCAGAAATGCATGAATTAAAATGAAAATTACTACAGAAGCCTGTTATAAAATGTCTCCGAGAGAAAAATGGGGAAACTCGTCTCTTAAACGAACCCTTGTGAACACCATCTGGATTGAAATAGACTGAAAAGTCTTTTGTGCCCCCTGAGAGTTTAGGATAAAATCATCCTCAATTTTCCATTGATTCGACACCTATAGATTCTTGAAAAAAGAATATTGAGCAGATGTGAAGTATGAAACCATAATCTGACAAAGGGGTCAATTTAATATGGTGAATCTGTTCATAAAAGAAATCTGCAAATCCTTATGTAAAATGACGAGTTAATACAGGGAGGACTTCAGTCTTCGTCGTAATAATCATGCAAAGACTCACTTGCAATATTTTTACGGCCAAAAACAAATGGACTGCATTTTGCAATAAACGACTACTATTTCTAGCTGATTTAAGAAACAACGTATATGTCATTAGTTTTCCTTTGGAGATACGTGCATTTGTCGTTGAGCCAAAAATAGTAGTCCCTAATTCCAAAATGCAGTCCAAATCAATGGCGGAAAAAAGCAAAAATTAACAGAATTATTGTGGGGCAACAAAAGAGAAAAAATGCAGTGGTGATGAGATTTCAGTTTGTTCTTCTTCAAAAAATTCTTCAGAATAATAGTGAGGAACATTCAAGTAGTCAATCATTCTTCTTGGTAGCGGTAGCTGAGGAATCAAATCTTTCCTTACATGTTTCAAAATTACAAACCTGCAAACATAAAAATAAAAGAGACTAAGTTCTGAATAAAATCATTACACATTCATACATCATCATACATTCTTCATTCAGTGTTGCAGAATTTTTAAGAAGGGTCCGGATCCGGAACAAGGTAACAAAACATAAGAGTGAGGTGCCAAAAAATCTCAAGTATGTCTCCAATAATTCAAAGGACCCTATTTGGGTGAAGATAGCGTTAATGAGATGATATAATCATCAATAAACTCTTCATGACTAGATACTCTAGGTTCCAAAATGCGATAATGCATGAGGTTCCATGAGCAACGACAGCAGCACTCTAACCCAATCTGAACTGTTCAAATCCTGCTCTTGGCTAATTGGATCTATTTAAACAATGGAGAATTTGCATGCAACTTTTTATTGCTTCATCTGAAAGTGCTTAAAGAGCTTATTTCACAGTATTTTTTATAATTTTTTTCTGATGTGGGAAATAGTATAAAAATAGATTTAAAATTGAGAAAATGCACCGCCTAGTGACGTCATCTGGCAGCATTTCCCATTTTAACACAAGTATTTTAGCAGATTCGATAATTTTGTCATATCTTCTCCGATACTTGTTCAATTCATGAACCAAAGGTATTCTCGAGTTCAGTTCACTCAATAGTTTCCTCTTAAACACGAGAGTCATCAAATTTCTGACATCTGCAAATTCTCTAATATCAAATCGATTTAACAGCTTAGTTAACAGTTAAAAGTGCAAATCAATTTGACATAACAGCATGATGGCTCGCTTTTGACAGCTATCTAGCAAATACAGAACTGTTTCCACTTCATCAGGAGCCGTTCGCCTATCAATCAGAGGTGATCTGCACGATGAAGTGTCTAGAAATCGAACAGGTTTCAGTTTTATTGTAAAGTTAGTTTCATAAAAGACTTTTTCATGATTTTGAAATTAACAGCAACAGAAAAAGTACCTGCACATGTGTTGTAAGCTTTGGACTTGCTTAAATCTTGAGACAGGATGGAGAAGCTGAACTCTCATGGGGCCAAGAATTGGCCGTCGATGTAAAAAAAATAAGTAGCGACCACTTCTGGAGTGCTCAACTGCATTTTCTATAAAATCGACTATAGTGTGACTTTTGAATTTTGTACAGCTACCAAAACTAAAATTACCTATAATAACAAAAACGAAAGAGTTTAGTGGCCCATTCTAGTATGATTTACCATTCTACTGGATAGTTGATAACAGGCAACGGATTAATCTTATTGTGCAAGTTATGCTTGAAGAAAAAATCCATCTATGTTTGTGATTTTGAAAGATATCTTCTCCCAAAAAATTCAGAAATTGTAAAATTTATAAAACAAGGAAAAACGTCTGACTTAAATTCTTAATGCAGACATCATATTAGATTGACCGCAGACAGTGCTTATTATAAATTATGCAATTTCTACACAGAAACAGAAGCAGATTCAGTAATTTGGCAACACTGGATTCCCTCCATTTAAACCTATGCTAAATAATTGATTTTTGTCGGAGCACCTGGCCCCTTCAAGAATCAATACATTTCCATAGGTTTGAATGGAGAATAACAATGTTGCCAATTTGCAGCATCCGCCAATGCACAGAAAACCCTGAAAGTCACAGGCTTTAATAAATGACCCACAGTTCCATGCTGTAGAAGGGACTCTTTAACAGAAATCGGGTAGATTTCTGATAAAGGTTAAGGCTGACTCACTGAACATCAGCACTGCTGAACTTAATGAGTACTGCTCCTTCAAACTGTTTTTCTTGATTTCTCAAGCTTAAAAAGACACCAATACAGAATTACTTGGCTTTATTTTAAATATGCATTGTAGTAATGAAGGAGAATCGACTGGCGTCTACCTTCTAACTGAATGCCAGTAGCTCTTAAGCTGCTCACAAATGAAAATAAAAAAAATTTCCACCACAATAATAGGTTTTTTACGAAATGTCCTCTTTGACTCAACCATAGTCCTGGAAATAACTTACCCTGATCATGCTCAATTCGAACGTGCCGCACACAACCGTTCAGCTTGAAAGTGAGGGAGAAGATATAATGGTCATCACTGCTGTCTCGTACAATGAAAGACCCGTCTGGTTCGTTGGACAAAATTTTCTCTGCTGCTTCACCAGAAATTGGACCCCAGTACCAGCCATACTGAAACAAGAGGGGATTAATATAGAATAAAGAGTATCATTCAGTAGATAATTTTTACCACAGATTTCACAGATAGATTTTCTCAGGAGTAATTTCTTATGTTATCCTCCAGAAATTACCATTTATTTACTGTTGCTTCCATGACAGTAACCCTTCAATGTTGACTGTGACATAGGTTCAACATAGTTTTATTCCATTAATTGAAAAAATCCGAGTCAAAACTGGCCGGATTACTACAAGTAATCTTTTTTTTGGTTTCTTAAAAAAACCAGTAAAAATCAGATAACACAGTCTACTCACTGCTGAGATTATGTCTCGGACCTTGAGGCCAGGGCTTTTAGCAAGACGATGCTGAGCCTTGACCTATCGCTCTCCTCCGCTTTCCTCCCGACTAAAGCCTCAGACAGTGAGTAATAGCAATTCTGTTATCGATACGATGGAGTTTTGTGAGCTTCTTAGTTGGCAGCTTTGCACAAAATGGCAATCATAATAAAAGAAAGAGCGTGAATCAATTAACTGAGGAAAAGAGAACAGAGAAAGAAAGGAAAATCTAGGGTGGATAAATGAATAGGATTAAGCAAAATATTTCTTACATCTTTCACTTTCTCAATGTTAGTGGCAAAATCCATGATGCTATCTTGTTGATTGAACTTCTCAATGTCCGGTTGTGGAAATGTGATGGACACACCTGGAACTGGTGGTAGTGCACGCTTCTGGAAAGGTGGTTTACTCACATCAACGACCAATACTGTGTCTGTGGGTTGCGTTTCTGACTCTGCAGGTGATGAGTATTTTCGAAGCCGAAACAAATTGCACAGAGTCTGCTTTAAACTAGACTTAAAACTACTTCTGCTTGGAGGCGGTTGTGTCAGTTTTTTTACTCCATCAACACCGTTTTTTTGTAAATCACTAAATCCATCTAAGTTATTATTATTACTAGTGCTATTGACATTATTATTATTTACATTTGAATTAAATGATAAATTTTTATTATCACAAGAATCTTTGGTTTTTTTACTTAAATTTTTACTCTTTTTACACTTTACAATCCTTCTACTGCCATTGGTCTTCATAATTTGACCCCGGCCATCGTTTACATTCAAGTTGTAACTTTTGTAAACAGCTTGCTTCGTTTTGGATAAAGTTTCACTACTTGAACTTGAGTACAGATTGTGTAAAAACTGTCGCACTTGCTGAAGGGTCATTTGAATAGGTTCACCGGAAGCTAGGGTGGACATGGATCGACTAGGAGTAGAATTGCGTTTCTGTTTCCGGTTTGGATTGTAATTACAAAAGGACGAGGATACATTACTCTCAATGGACGAGAGGGGGTCCTTCTTCTTAGACGTATTGTATCGATAGAGCTTATGTGGAACTTTTTTCTTGTCCTTCCCTCGCACTGAGTCCGCTGGGATAGCATAAATATCACTATCTAACGGTACATTGTACATATCAGTAATGCTTAAGATATCATGTGACATTGCTGATGTAATAAAACTTGAGTCATCAACTTTGTTGGCTGCAGTGACCGAAAGTGAGTTGTGGGAACTAGAGAGCCGAGAAGAAGAGAGCGAACTACGAGAGCTTGTTGAGTAAATTAGTTCCGATGTCCAAAACATCCTTTTTTGGCTTGTTTTAGCATCCATTTTGTTCAGGCTGGGAGGATCTTCATCTGGTTTCAAGTGCTCAGAAATGAAAAGCCTCATACACTCACTAATAATAGAGTCAGTGATTTCTTCTGCAACTTCTTGGATGAGCTCCACTGAAAGATCATGACTGGACGAAGGAGGCTTGTCTTGGAATTCGAGAGGAGGATCAATGGTCGGGATGAGTTGTTTCTCCATCTCTGGAACCTTTTTTGGATACCTCTTGACAGTATTACAATTTTCATTGCAAAGGTTGTCATGAATCAAACCGCTTTTATCGGTTTCCTCCTCATCCTCGCTCTCTGGGCACTGAAAACACAAAATTAACGTTAATGATGATGCTCCAGAGATGAAATTCTGAAATAACATGTCGGAATTTCAGTGAAACAAAACTCATCAATTCATAAGTGTGACAGTCAAGATGCACATTTAAAATTATCAAGAATTATCTTCCTTGTGCAAGGAGTATTCACACACAAAATGGACTGCATTTTGCAATTTGGAACTATAAATTCTGGCTCATCTGAAAAAACAAGTAGGTGCATAGGGGAACTAATGGCACATACGTTGTTTTTAAACCGGGCCAGAATTTATAGTTCCAAATTGCAAAATGTAGTGAAAATAATGATCCCTCTGTTCATGAAGGAAAAAAACTGAGATTTGTGCTGCTTCATTCTTTTCCTCTAGCGGTCATTTTTTTTTAGTAAATCCTTATGGTTTCAGCAACAAAATGTTATGGAGTAATTCCTTGCAATAAGAAAATTAAGTACAGATTACTTACTTACTTTACTTAAATATTTTACTTGATATTGAATATATCAAATATTATATGTGAAATATTTCTCTGTGAGAATACTGACCCAAGGATATTTATGTGCAACATTATTACAATGGGATGGGTGTCTTTGCGCGGAAGTAGGAAGTTTTGATCATGATTAAATTTACTTATTACCTCCATTGTGTAATAACAATGAGAGCTTTGATCACTGCACGATGACACGACATCGAGAGAGCCACTGTGATCACTTGTCAAGAGAAGTCCGCTATCTTCACTCAGCACCAATATCTCTGATAATGTCACAGAGCATGACGGGGGAGAATCCATACTATACACATCCGTTCATTTTGACAAATTTTCTGAGAACAAACATATGAAGTTAATGAAACATCAAGGACACTGGGAATTCCACATAATTTACCTTAATATTTGATAACGAGAATTACATAGACACGCACTATCCAACTGCAACTGTTTCTGGAAAAAATACTATGATTTTGGTCTTTTTATGTGAAATTTGCCTCAGAGTTAAATTTGTGAAAAAAATTATATCATTTTCTTGCTTCAATATTTGAGTTTCAAGTTCATGAGAGATCATTACGGATATACCTGAAAAGCTGACAAGAGTAGTCCAAAGGTGCCTTGTTAGTGTAAACTTGACTTAATTTCGTTTTAATCTGCTGTTTGTAAACGCAACCCGATAGTTCACATCAACCTCTTAAGATCGTTGAGCGTTTGGTCGGGCATTCATATGTAAACACATGAGTCATCGGGTAATCGAAATGGAATCCAAAAATGCTGACCATTTGGAATCAGATAATTCCATTTGAAAACGGTCCCAAGCAGCTCACTCCGACAATGCAGTTCCTTTATTGAGGATCCAGAAAACAACAATTTTGAGTTTGCACTATTTAAAAGTATAGGATGCGATGTTTTCCTGTAAACCAAATTATGGTTTCGTCTACTACAATTAGCCAAGCAGAGCAAGATGAGAGCGCTCCGATTATCAACAAATCTCTAATCTGTCAAGGCAGTTGAAGGCCGTCACATGCAACCAATATCGAGACTAAAAAACGTCTTATATAGAGATTCGTGTCTCTCATCCACCTTTCTTACAGAATCTCTTAATTCTTGAGTCGTTAAGCCAAGTTTCCGTACAGTATACGAACTTCTTCACTGCAGACAGGCCCCACTTCAAAAGAGGCAACTAAATTCAGCACATTTAACCACTTAGCTACACGACAATCTTAATTGTTTGAGAAAGGTACTGATGAAAGAGCAGCAAAAATTGAAATAACAGGCAAAGTTACACAGAATATAAAGGAATTAAAAATAACTAAGTACCTGACAGTGGACATCTTGAGACACATAACCTCAAAAATTTTCATGGGTAGAAGTTCTACAGATCGTTGTGAAAGATTAAGTAACTCAACTAATTGCGGATCAGATGGGAAATTAAACTTTGCGTCGCGACAATAGCGTAAGATTAACAACTTAAACGAACTGCAAAAATGCTAGACACTGGAATGATCTTGCTCACTGAAGTAGCGGAGAAGGCAAGTGGCACATTACAGATAAAAACAAAAACTTGAGTTCACTCGAAGGTTGATTGACGCTGCTCGAATATTATTAACCAAAGAACACACCAGTGTACCTCCCGAGAAACTACAAAACATGATTAAATGCACAATCTTACTGTAAGTTTAAATATAATTTGCACAAGTGGACGTAAAAAAGTGATAAGCTCGCTTAGAATATCTATTATCTAGGTAAGGTATCGGTTCAGTTCCGCAAGTGGTGGGGTTGCGAGAGGGGGGAGGAAGTCATCGTTATCGAATGAACGGGATCGGGGGTAGAGTGAAGCAACCCGCCGTACTTCGGAGACGTGAGCGTGAGTCATTCATGCGGTATATCCATCTCGTTTCCTCGGACAGCACCTCTTTTCCAGCTCTTTTCACGTGATCGTTCGTGTCCCACGTAACCGAGTCTCTTATTGGTCCATTGCAGAATTTTCACCCCCTACCCTTTCCGCATTTTCACGAATTTCCCTTTCATTGTAGTGATATAGTGCTAGGCTGCGCATGTCCGAGACCAATAGGGGAATACGACCACTCGTAAGGTCTAAAAAAGTTGCCTAGGTTTCTGACGCAAAAGTATAATGTGTACTGAGAGCGAAATGGAATTCCTTAGTTAGTATCATTAAAAGTATTCAAGCTAGCCGAGTGTGACGAAGAAAATTCTCATTTTCGGTTCTTCGGTAAATGAGATCGAGTAAGTTTGGCTGTAATCTCTAAAAAATGGTGTACTCCTCCCCCCTCCCAATCCAACTGAGAAACTCACGAACAGAATTCCATCCGAAATGATTTTTTTTTTGGGGGGGGGGGTCGTCATTTTTTAGGGGGAGTTTTTAAGGATTGGGCCGGGGTGGCCACCGTCACCTAGAATGTCATCCGATAGTGGGTAAAAATCCCGAGTTGAGAGGAATGAATAGAATCAATTTATGTATTGCAACAACTATGTTGCTGCTAAAGTTATGCAGGGCAGGGCCGGGTTAAGGCAAATTTTGCAATTTTTTTAAATGTAGTTATAAAAAAAAATTCAGATTTAGAAAAAAAAATACAAACAAGAAAAGGCGACAAAATCTCTAATTTTCTGAGAGTATAGTAATTTCTACTTTTGTCGTCTTTCAATGATACAAGAGACAGCACCTTTAATTAGTCGAGTTAAGAGAGAAACCAAACACGCAATCTGGCCTGGAATGGCGCGACTTGCCTACCTACCTAGAGAGAAATGATGACGAGGACTTGAAAAGGAGAAGCCCTCGGCGCGGCGATCGGCATGTAACACATATCAGCGCCTACAAGACTGCGTGAATACTTCACGCATTGCGTCAAACACAGTGCGGTCTGCGAGGCGCGGCGGCGGAAGTTTAAAATAATCATTAATCTACATTTATGTTTGTTCTTTCATTATTTTTTCGTTCATTTCTTATAAATGGAAGGCCTTGTCCACACAGAGATAGGTTTACCAAACTTAACTTCCGAGCTAAGTTCCGTGAACTTTAGCTAGTTGTAGTATTGACAGGGCTTTCCCAAAAAGTGTGTTCAACACCAGTAAACGCGTCTTATGCACCCTTCCCTCGCTGGCACGTTCATTTGATGGTTTTCATTGATGTTTCAAAACGAATAAGAAGGGGGCGGCAAAATACTAGCGGCCCATGGGCGGCAAGTAGGTTAATCCGGCCCTGATGCAGGGTGAAAATATCATGAACAGGAATCAATAGAATAAGGAAACTCTATAAGGCCGGGGTCTCCACATAGTTGTTGCAGTTAAATTAACTTGAGTTTTCAGCTCCAGCTCAATTCGGTTGGTCATATAAGTAAAGACTTCTTATAAGAGGTAATTTTCAACATAAAAGTTTCTCATACAGTCTCACTTTTTACAGATCAATGATCACGACCTCATAAGTAACTCGATCAGTAAATTTTCATCAGTTACATTGATTATAATGAAAGATATAAAACATTTATAACACTTGAAAAAGACTACTGGTTTTTTCAATTTCCACTTTTTTATGTGTCTACAAGAAAATACACTAAAATTATCTTACAGAGGAGGACCATTTTAACTTTTCCTACTGTCCCAAAAGATTGAACTGCTTCAGTTTTTTCTTCTTTTCTTCTAGCTGATGAATTGAAAACTCTGCTGATTTGAAGCGAACTCTGTCATCAACAAATTTTTTCTAGGACTGATGCAAGTTTTTCTCCACAAATTTTTAGAAGTGGATAAAATAATACAACAACAGGAAGTTTCTTCAAGTTGAAAAAAATATAGACTGCACAAATGAACTGCTGCAAATGACTGTAATTGTTGCTCCATTCTCACTACTTTTAAAATGTCGAATGAATGTCAGTGTCAATAAAAAGAGCCTTGTGTGCACATTATTCTCCTATTTTTGTTTTTCTTTATCATCAGAACTTGCGTCAGATAAGTTGGCAGTTGCTTACTTTCAGATTGCAAGTGACTGTGTTGCAGTTGTTCAACAGCCATCGACGACTGATGGCGGGCAACAAACCTGCCAGGTACAGAAACTTAAACAGGTCTACTGCTCATGACAGTCAAGAGCTCATACTTACAAAAGCCAACTTATCTGAGGCAAGTTCTAGTGTCCATATCTTTTCCTTACTCTGCTTCATTTTGCTGCGTGAATTTGAAATTTGCTGGTAATTATTGAAGCTAATGATGTGGTGAAGGGGTAATTTCTGAAGTTCTCCATGAGAAGGTGGAAAGATCTTTCCTAACACTTACTAACCTCAATTTACAACTGAGCTTGCTTGAAAGGAAAAAGTAAGGGGAGTAGAGGTTCCTAATAACCAAACTAAGCAGGCAAACAGAAAGTTAAAATCTGTAAATGACATAATGAGTTGCTCCTAACCAAGTTAGGCTAGCCTTTCTTTTGACCCTTCCAGGCTTGCAGCCTGAGATGAAGAAATTGCTGGAACAAAAGATATGAGCTATTTATTCATAAATTCTTCTTCTAATTTTGCAGGCTCAAATTAGCAAATGTGGATATTCCCTTTCCCTGATACAAAGTCACCTTTCTGATAAGTTTAGAATAAGTTGAGTGAATCAACACTGAGTAGGAAACTTTCATTCAACTCTGTTGAAAAGGAGAGCCGAATCTTGGCCAAACACTGAAGGACCAAAACAAAACAAAAGGTTACAAATAAATAATAAAAATTTATTGGCAGTATTTAAATTAATATTAAAGTGAAAATAACTATTTCATAAAAATATGTACAATCTTTTCAATGATTAAAAAAATTAATGATTAAAAATCGCTCATTCAATCAAAAAATATTTACTCGGAAAAAAAAAGAAAAATAATGAAAAATATACAAAATTTGGATGTGGTGACGTACAAAAATGAGAAGATGTGCATGAAGTACTTTGGACATAATAATATTCTCTGCTTTGATAAAGCGGACTTGCAACAAGACTTATGATTTCAAGCAAATTACCTTATGGTGAGGGACGGTTCATGAAATATGTAATGCTCTGTAAGGAGGTCAAAGGGAGCGTTACATCATTTTGGTTTTACACATTAAAGGATAGGTATCTACATCACAAAAGCATTACGAGGGTGGGGGAGTGTCAAAAACGCTGAAATTTAGCATTGCATATTTCATGAACTAAGTGTTACACCAAACTTCACAGACTCCGCAATATGAAGTCCCCAAGAATATTCTGGACTTAATTCTCTAAAATAAAAATAAAAAAACTATTCTCTTTTGAGGGGAAACTGCATTCCTTCAGATGAACCGATAAATTTTTTAAAACAAATTGTAATTCGTATTTTCAAAAGAGGCAACTCCTGCACATTTCTCGTCAACAAAATAAAAATAACTAAACAAAAACAATTTGCTAAAATTATGGTGGTCATTTACTGAATAACAATCTCCAAATTCTATCTCCGCTTGAATGAGGCTTGAGTGAGAAAATGTGAATTGTTTTAAAGATGAGAGATTCTTGTAATTACTGATGCAAAAAAATACATGAAGGGAAAGACTCTGCTCACAAGAAGATAATTCATTATAGGCAACAACTACTTAACAAAGTTTTTCCCCTCGCATAATGAAACCAAAATCTAATTTACAAAAGTATTTTTTCGATGGGTACACCTATTGTCTGTACCAAATTTAAACATGAAAAATTTACAAAATAACTGATGATGACTACAAATAAGAAATATTGCACAATACAAATTTATACACTTTGCAGCACCTGGCCTTTGGGCTCCGTGCTGATTGGTTCTTGCAACGCCGCCCCGGTCCAATAATCCCGGCAGTCATTGACAGAATGCAAGAAAACATTAATTAAGTGCTATGAGCCCTGGTTCGATGGATACTTCATACTACATTGGTCACGCTTTCACACGATACAGTGTAGTTGTAAGCACCATGCTAGGTTTGAACTGTATTCACATTGTACAAATGAGACACAGGGCATGTTCCAACCTGGTCGGAGCTCATCGTTAATGGATTAGCAGTGTTCCGCCTCCCTCCTGTAATTTGAAAAGCCACTTGATGGGTCAGCAAATCCAATTTTTAGGAGCATCTTTGATTTTTTTGGGGGCAAAATCAACTTTTTGCGTTCCCAATACTGTTCCGTTCCGTCGCTGTGTTCCAATCTCGAATCTTCTTGCTCTCAGGCTGCACCGCAAACGCAGCCTTGAGAGCATTACTGCTACTTTGCGGTCACAAGTTTGGAAAAATCAACACGACATGTCAACTTTTTTAAGTGCCACAACGGCCAAGCCTTCCAAATTTTCAGACACCAGGGCCAGATGTTTAGGCACATGTGGTGCATGGCACCCAGAGAAGGCAAAACACTATGGATTACAAAACTGATTTTTGCATGAATCTCCTGGGTTAAAAATTTTCCACCTTGCCGTCTACTAAGCAGTATTTTGTGATAAAAAATTACAACACACAATTATTGATGTGGAACGCTGGATGCTAATCAAATATCAATGATTTAAATTACATGAGAAAAGGAAATATTCAGTGATACAAAGATTTAAATTATAAAAACAAATTTAATTACAATGGTGCCTGGTATTCAAAGACACATGTTTCTTGCTTACTTCAGCAGATCTAATTAAGTATCAAAATATTGATATTCATACAAGAAATGGGCAACCTCCCAGGAATGGTCCATGAGACTAATGAAAGACTAATGAAAAATCAAATGATTCAATAGTTTGATAGCAATTAAGTAGTTCATTCTGATGAAAAAATTTAAGTCAAAGAGAAAATTTCAAAAGTCCGAGGACAAATCATTAAAAGGAAATTTAACTGTGTGATATTGGAAGATAATGTAATGCATAAAAATTTTGACAAAATTTAATGATGCATTTGAAAAGATAAAGCTCAACTACGTACTTTCACAATTATTTGTCAGCGTATTCTCAAACAAGAAAGATGAAAGATTTTCTCAGAAGTCAGTCTCCTTCATGCATTTCAATACATAAGTAAATATGTATTTCATTGTGAAAAATCAATTTTGATAATTCATCTGGTCACAAAATTCACGCTTCAATTGCAGAATTTTGAGGATTTTGGAAGATTCTTTACTTTTCAGGACTACCACCGTTGCTTTGTTGTTCAGCTTTGACATCTCGCATCAGATCAATTTTAGCTACGATTTTCAAAGCAGGTCCTAATTTCATTGACATTGCTGACATGAGGTGGTCTTCTTTCAGGAGCATTAGAGCTTGTCCGTCAATTTCTTGAAGTGCAAAATCTTCTGCATACTCATAGCATCCAGGAAGATTTTTAATGAATTCACACACCTCAGTGACCTGTAAAAAAATTATTAGAAAATTATAATCTTAGAGTACCTTCAACATAAATGAAATGCATAAATTGACAAACTTTGTAGACACTTTGAACATTTTGATCCGGCACAGATATTCTACTTAGACTACTTGGAGCTCTTCTTCATCTCAGCTAATTTGTCTCCTAGGGTAAAACTACTACAAAAAATTCAATTTGAGTGTTAACAGCACTGGCATGTATTTCTCAGTGAGAAAATTAAGGAACATTTTTTACGTTTTTGATTAATGAATCAAAAAATAGAATTAGGACGTGTTGACTGAGAAGTGTACACAGTTTACGTTCAGTAAGAATCATTCCTTAAAACTGTGGCTTTAAAAAATCCTTAAACTTGATTCACAAGCAAGAAGTCACTGCTTGAATATTTATTTACACCTTGAGTTCTTCAAACAGCATTGAAATTGGACCATTTGAACACATATAAACATCAATAGCCAGGTATTTCAATAACAAATAAATGAAGTCTCATCTATCAAAATCTACAAAATCTGTTGTGGCTTTCGCAAATCTCTACTAGTGCTTGATTACTTGAAAAGAAAAATTAATCAGCTCATTTACTTGTAATTTTCTGAAAATTTACAACTTTACAAAAAAGAACTGAAAAAATTTTGAAGAGGGTGAACTGATAAATTTTTGTTTCAGGACATTAACTATTCCCAAAAGAACCGAACAAAAGCAGGGTTTCGAAGGTTACAAACTTAAAAGCTTCCACAACTCAAAGGTACCTGAACTTTTTTAAACGCACATCTTTTAAAAAAGCCTTACAACTGGACCGGGAGTTTGATGGAAATGCACTGAGTGGCATCAAGTTCAAACCAAGGAGAAGAGAACTGAGAAATAAATTACATAAGATAAAAGCTTCCAGCCACAAAACTTACCGTCCACTTGAGAGGATTGGATTTTGGTAAGTCTTCTGATAACATACTGTCCTCCGTATCCATTTGATTGGCTAGTTCATTGCTCTCTGAAGAGCTGAGCGAACTTTCTGGTCCTGATGACCCAGAATCTTGAACGTCACCATCACCAGACTCCTAGAGAAGAAAAATATGTTTTTAAGAAAACGAGCACCTAAAACATTTTCATTCACAACAATTTTATACTTGAAAGATAGGGAGGAGAAAGAGAAAAAATAAGCCTGAATGAACAGTTTCTCATTAAGTAGATTTTCAAGCATACTACATATGTCCTAAGGTTATTGAAAATATGTGCATTTACGGGTATCACTAATGAAGGGTGATAAAGATAGAATATTGAACCCAACATTTGTTTAGGGGAATGGTGGAGGACACTTACAGAAGAGAATCCCTTTCTTTTGAGAGGATGTTAAATTCTGTTTGCCCTATTGCAACTCAGTATGTATATCATTTATCTGAGGATACATACCAATTCAACTAAAATAATCTCTGTTCAAATTGGATTTGATTAAACTAAGAACAGTAATTTCCACACAAGCAGTCTATTGCAGAGTTAGACCAAAAGTCATATTTAGATGTAACAGGAGTTAGAGATTTTTTAAAGCATTAGTTTTTCCATGATAGGTTCTTGGAAATGTGAGAGTTGATCAGCGTGATTTCAACTTTCACTGCATACTTAAGACTGCTGCTATGTAACTTGGCCTTTCAAGTAAAAATGTATCAAAACCTGTAGGAATTTGTCCAGCCTTATCATTCTATTTTGTACCTCATCATCGTTTTTTAAATTTCATTATAAGAAAGGGAAGGATTTGAGAACTATCAAAATGAATGGTTTACCATTCTAAGGGGCTGCAACTCCGATTATTTGTCAGATTCTATCATGGAAATTTTCAATTGTACAAATTTTGTTGCAGATACCAAAAGATTGGTCGGATCAAATTTCACTGAGAATTGATTGATTAATGACAAGTATACTGGTTTATTTAGAGATAGGGGAAACACAAGATCAAAAGCTTAGCTTTACTTAGAGAGCTATTAAAAAGCTGACAAAAAGGAAGTTGAATGAAACTATTTACCTTTCCATTAACTTTCTTTTCGGTCCCGTCTTTTCCTGTCGAATTTCGTTTGCTGAAAAAAAAAAAAAAAATTGGAATTAGACCAACAAATTTCTACAGAATAAAAATTTTCAAGTGGTTTTAAATCATGAGCTGAACATAACCTCAAGCATTACCGCAAGTTAATGAGCTTCATTTGAATGGACTGCTTGCTAAACTTTTACACACCAGTCATTCCAAAGTTTTTCATATGGTATTGAGCAACGACTTTGACTCATACCTACTGCAGTTCCACTAATTTACCATAAATTGGTTCTCTTGAACACAAGATGATAAAAATATGTTTTGTTAACATTGGTTGCATTGAGCATTCTCGGTTAGCATGATGGTAGATTAATATTATCTTGAGTGGCAGAATTCTATCTTTCAATTCCATTGTCAAAATTCTGATAACGCAGAATTTTACTGATTTATCAAAGGGATGATGGACAGAGGTTCACTTGAGGACTGAATTTTAGATGTACAAAGGGTTAATACATGTCTGCTCATCATACATAATATGGGTCAGTGATAACTCCTATTTTCCATTACATCCACATATTTGAAGGCACAAAAACTTACTTTTTAATACAAACGGAGCAAGAGCGTTTCTTCTTATATTTAGTTTTGAGATCAACTTTTCCACAAGACTCGCATGCACCATAATCTTCATCTAACATAGGTTTTTTCACTGTGAAGAGGAAAGAAAAATACAGAATTAATACCTTGAAAATACATTCATGCATGGAGACATACGTACATAGACATATCGGTTGCTAAAGTAAAAAAAATCCTATCTCCGATATTAACTTTAAAAGCCTCCAATCGTGTTTCACTTATTTGAGAACATTTTTAAGAGATATTTTAGTTTGATGTTGGTCTTTGCAATAGAGATACGCATTTTTGAACTTCAGATATCCATGTAATCAAAATCAAACACATTTATCAGACCTTTTATAGGTGAATCAGGATATCCTGAGTGAAATAAGCTTTGACTGAACAGCTCATCATATTCAATTTTTTTTCCTTTTATTATCTTTGTAACCCTTTACAGAATTTATCCTTGTTATTGATATTTGAACTTAACAAGCTAAAAAGCATATAATTGTGATAGAAATATTAATAGTTTTGATATTAGCTTTTCTGCGAGTTCCAATTGAAGTACATTTTGCGATTAGGAACTACAATTCCTAGATTATACAGGAGGCTCATATCATGGATATAAAAAAGATTACACATAAACAATTCTTACTTAAAGGTTCGCCGTTTGATTCTGCCTTCAATCTGTTTTCTTTGTTTGCATCAGAAGATCTGTTCACAGGGAAAGGCTGAGAGGCTGAAAAAAGGGATTAAATTGTTAGATCAATGATTGGTAAAACAAGAGCTAGAGCTAAAATAGCGATAGGAAGGGTTTTGAACAGTTTCAGTGCAAATTGCTCTAGATTGACATAGTAATTTCACACGGTCAGAGCTGCAAGCAGGTCTCTCAAATACAACCAAGCACCTTCAGCAGAGATGCAGCAACTTCAGCTGCTGATTTTTAATCATTTCAACTCACTCTGTTAAATAAAATTTACTTTTTGAGAAAGAAAGCAGGAGGAATGAATTTCTTGAAAGGTAAAAGGCCGCTTCACGACAAACTACAATTGCTGACTTGACTTATGATATTTTTGTCAAATCTCATCTGCATAAGCTCCTTCTAAAAAAATAAGCCTTATTGATGAACCTGAGAGCTTGATATTTTTTTATTTTCTTGGTAACAAACTGCGCCAAAAGGCCCAGAAGTTATTTTCTTGTGTTTCATCATGTGCATGAGAGATAAAAATTAAACACTAGCTTCCAACAACTGAAGCAAAACGACACATACCTGCATAAGCTTAGAGGAGAGGGTTGCTGTTACTTGTTTTACAACATACAAGGGCACCATCATTCAAGATCATGACAAATATTTATTATACCACTTGGAAACTGACAAAAATAACGTCATTAAAATGTTGCAAAAACATAACTGCAACGGTGATTTTGGCAGGAACACTGCAACAACGTTTTTGCAACCACATTTTGCCAGGCCAGATATTTTCTAACATGCTGGGATTTGTGGGTGAAAAGATCTTTGAGTTCAATATGTTGATTTTTCCCCCTCTAATCTGTGAAAACATATTTTTTGTCTTGAATAGAGTTAAGCTCAAACTATTGGTTTCTTCCTCTTTGACAAAGGTTGACAAAACTGAAAACATTTGGAGTAAATTAATGTATAGGCATATGATAATAAAATGGGCATAAGTATAAAATCTTACCTTCTTGAATAACATAACCTTCGATGACATGGGTTAAAATGTTTGTTTGTTGTGGCCGCACCATCGCTTTCGGAACTGTGCCTCGTTCTTTATTTGAGTCTTCTAAAACAGGAACACCTGATTCATGGTTGGGGGTAACTTGGCTAGAATCTGTAAAAATATAACACTTTGCTGAAAGATTGAACACTGAACAGCCATGAAAAATCACAAGTTTAATTGCTCTGCGGCCATTAAGCTTACACTGAACTCTAGAAAAAAATACCCAATTGTTAATTACAAGGATATTAAAAGAACGCTAACTTCAAAGAAAATAAGTCTACCTAGACTGGACACTCTCCCCTTCAGTTTTGTACTTTGACATGGCAGGGTATAATTTTGAAATTCTTCCACCAGCACTAACCTATCATGTAATGAACACACAATATTCATACCACACCTTTGGTGGTTCTTTTCCTCCTAAGAAAATATATATTTGATCAAAATGAACCTTTGTTTCAATTCCAAGAGAATTTCTTGAGAAAGTAATCTCTCCCCAACTTTGAGCTTCTAGCAAGCTTATTAATTTTCTAATACTAAAGATTGTTTCATAAATAAGTGAATCTCTCCAGGAAAATTGGTGAAACTTTCCAAATGAAACAAAAATCTTTTAATATTCTATGATAGCTGGATCAATTGAGAGGCGACTGTTGAATTTACCATTAGATGCATCCATCTTTGGTGGTGGTTCAGTACTTGAAGGTGCTGTTTTTGTATCCGCAGCTCCTTCTTTTGACTTGTCAACTGCTGTAGCCTGACTTGGTGTGCTTGGTGTGGGCGCAGGTGTCTTCTCACCATCGATTGTAATCTCCATCTTCTGTGGAGTTCCAGGTGTTGCTGGTTGCTGAGGCGATTGCACTGGTAGTGGTGAAGGCATTGTTTGCACTTGCGAAGGAACCACCAAGGACTGGATGGGGATTTGGTTGGTCATCGTCACTGTTGGTTGGCAATTGGAAACCATTGAGACAACAGGCATTACTTGCGGCTGACCAGGTTGTTGCATCTGCTGAGTGGGTGCTGCTAATTGCTGTTGAAGCGATGTCATTGGCATACCAACACCTTACAAAAACAATTCAGGATTTTTAGTCACATTAATAATGCAAAATTTTATCCTCAGAATAAGATCAATAAAATGACAGGATTGAGGGACACTCCCACTTCTATTCTCAGTTAAAAATTACATGCTCCGACTTCACAGGGGAGGAAATTGAATTATCAGTATATTGTCTCCGACACTATGTAAGGAAGTATCAACATTACAGTTTCAAATAATCCACAACTATTTTAACCTTGTTTAGGATCTTTTCTTTTGCTGAGTGCAATTTTTTCTGAATTATCATGATTAGCATTTAAGTCCACTATTTTAAAAAAAGTTTAAGTCCATTCCTGACGAGTCAAACTCATGAACTAAGATATTCATTTTTAAGAACAGATGGCAGGGCTCTTTGAGTGGACTTGTCATGAGTGAATTTCTACCTTTCACAAAATGATGGATTCTTCTAGGAGATAGAGCACTGAAATTTTGAGAACAGTCTTTATATCAGCTATTATGGGACAATTTGAACAGATAGAGAACCCAAATCTGAGATTATCACAGGATATAAATTCAAACTGAAACCAAACCAAAATTCCTCCGTCTACCTCAAACCCATTTCCGGACTGATTTGAAAATCCAACCCGGGCAATAGCCCTAAGAGTACGCTACTTAGGGCCTTCATGCACTTACTCATGACTTGGTTTGTCCGACTTTGGATCAGATGGGACTGCTGCTGTTGCTGCGGCTGGAAACTGATTTGCTGTTGTTGGAAGCTAATTAATTGCGGTTGTTGTCCAGGTTGTTGAAGTTGCTGAGGTTGTTGAAGTTGTTGAGGTTGTTGTAGTTGTTGAGGTTGCAGCTGCTGCTGTGCCTGTTGCTGCATTACTTTTGTCTGTGCTACATAAGTTCCTTGACTAGTTAGTATCATTCTGAAACAGTGGTATACAAATGTTAACATACTTTCATTGCCTGCCGCTAATTAAAAGTTCAAATTTTATAAAGCTGTTCTTAATACTTTATTAGGCCTTTGATTTTAATTTTGCAACAACTTTGCATGGCAATAGAGAAAGAATTCCATCACAAACTTTTCACACAACTCTTTACAATAATCTACCAAGCTTATTCAAAGAAGAGGTGTATCCCCTTTGATTAAATATTTTCGGAGTATGACAAAATAAAGAAACGTTGATGCATGATTTATTGCACCGATCAATGAAATAGTAACAAGATTGTCATGAAATTTTTTTGATATTTTCCATCAAAAGATATTACATATTTGGACGTGAATCAAAGAAACAAGAATATCAGATGAAACATATTTGCAAAAGTCTATGGCAAGTTATGCTATAGGCAATGAAAAAATCCATGGTTATTTAAAAAATTTACCTATTTGCAGCAATAGAATGTGTTCCTTGTTTTCCGGGTGTATTCGGATCAGTCTTCATACTCATTCCACGTCCCATCATAGGTTTCCTCTGCATTTTCATCTGCAATTTAAGAAAAAGGATGAGAAAAAGAAAAGAATGAAATTAATTTTTAGGGACTTCAGAGTTCAACGATCTTTATTTTCATCATGAGAAAAGGGACTACAATTGTGACCATGCAGAGGTGGCAGCACAGATGATCAGGTTTCATGATATTAGGTTTGCATGAAACCAAAATACATTCAAAGTCTTTCAAATATATATATCAATAGCGCTTCCAACACAGCCTGTTGGTACTTCCCCTTTTTTCTTCTTTTTCTTCTTTATTTTTCCTTTTTTCCTTTTTTCCTTTCCTTTTCTCCTTCTTTTTTAATGATCTTCAGCCTCAACTATTACATTTTCACATCAGTGGATTTACTTTAAAGAAATAGAGAATTTGCAGGTGTCTGAAATTCGATGACTTTCGTGTTTCAGTGGAAACTACTGAGTGAACTGAACACAAGGATACCCTTGGTTCATGAATTGAACTATTATCGGAGAAGATATGACAAAATGGTTTGCATTTTGCAAAAAGGAACCAGGAGCATTACAATGTTGCTAAGATAGTGCAGCTGCTTCTGTCTTGGAAGAAAAACCCGATTATCCATAAACAGTTCCTATTTTACCTGCCAAAAACTTTAAATTTTGGACAAAAATTATCATGCAAATTTTAGATTTTTACAGAATTTCAGTAATTATATTCCAATGGATGTAGTTGCACAATATTGGCAACATGGCAATGCTCCTGGTTCCTTTTTGCAAAATGCATTCCAAATGATCTATTCTGCTAAAATACGTGTGTTTAAATGTGAAATGCTGCCAGATGACGTCACTAGGCGGTGCATTTTCTCACTTTTAAATTTACTTTTATACTATTTCCCACATCAGAAAAAAATTAAAAAAATACTGTGGAATCAGCTCTTCCAGCACTTTCAGATAAAGCAATAAAAAATGTGCATGCAAATTTTCCATTAAGTGTATACCTGTTGTTTTTGTGCCATGGTTGCTGTCATCTGCTGTCCAGCAGTTTGTGTTGATACTGAACTTGCAGGGCGAATGGCTGAGCTAGGCAGTATGTTTGACAAAGGCCTTCCAACAGATGAAACCATACTAGTTTTCGGCTGTATATTCTCTTGTGGATTTGCACCTGCAGAGCATGAAGATTTCAATTAAACAACTTTAGGGCAGCAGGAATTGCACTTTTCAGGATCATTGACATGGATACTGTTTGCATTTTGGTTTAGCCATAACAGCCAACTAAGCTATTCACATATTTCTGGGTAACCGTCTTTTGTTTTCATGAATTCCTTAAATAATACCACAAATAAAACTGAGAAAAATCAATGGCATGCCTCCTATTTGTCACAATTTTCAATTGTTGAGGGCTAAAAGTATGATTGAGAATATTTAAACATACAGAAAATAATTCCAAGTAATGTTACAAACCTCTAATGAAGTTAGCATTTTGAGTGGTCAAAAGAGTAGGTTGCTGCGGGGTTGTAGTCCACGCTATGCTTTGCGGTAAACTGCCAAAATTCCAAGATGAGAACTGCACGGGTTGCGCATTCTATCAAAATGACGAGAGACGAAAATTAGGAAAAGCAACAAGTAGAAACTTAAGACCAGACAATTTACTTTAATAAAATAACGATATTTTAGGATTTTTCTGATTCAAATTTTAGAAGTAGAATCATAGCCTCGTGGTCAAACTTACAAAAGTTGAAATTTTAGAGGTACCTGATGAGTCGAATAGCTTAAAAATGATTTGACATCTATTGTAGTTGTCATTTTATTTCAGAATTCAATACTTCCAAAACTGCTTCTTATAATTCCACATGCAGCAGCTTTCACCACATTTAGCAAGACTCTGCGAAAGGACTGAAACTAATTTGCGATTTACCGTCACGTAATCAGAGACCAGAAATGATATTTAACTGGGCTGCAAATAAGATGAGACAGAAAAAATTAATTGTTCTGACTTCTTTATATTACTGGAGAAATACTATACATATAATGCTAACTTGAGTCCAGCTCTGAAATTGAAAAGTGAAACAAGAGGTTAATAGAACTGATATCTTACCTGAACTTTTTGCATCTCGGGTTTCTGTTGTCCAGCAGCAGAGTGAGCGGGTAAAATATTTTGTTGTGATGGAATGACTCCGAGTTGACTGATGACTAGGGTTTGATTGGTAGTTGTAGGAATAGTGGTGTAACCAGGAAAAGAGGCTGAAAAATGAAAAATGGACTTGATTAAAAATCATCTCTGCTAGAAAAATTAATATTATATATATATCTTTATTATGACCTACATTTTTCGACTCAGGGCTTCAGGATCGATGCTCTTTGAGCGAAATTTCCCGAAAATTACGAGGTCGTACCGTCTTCAATAGGTAGATATTTCTTCGAAATCTACCTACTAGTAGGAGAGCTGCAGATAAGGATGCTTCTGTAGGAGTATGAATTTAACAGAACGTTCTGCCTGAACACTAATTGAAACATCTTAGAAGTACATCAGTTTCAAATGCAGGACAATGTTAAAAATGAAATTGTAATTTTTCTACTGAGTTGCAGACTGCGGTCTTGCTCTGAGTAGACAGCTTAAAGAAAGAAAAGAAGCAGAGAGACTTCTTGTGGGAAAAAGAGACTTAAAAAAGAAAATAAAATAAAAGAGTAAAGATTAAATTCAAACAAATTGAAAAGAGGGGAGGCAAAAACAAGATATTACTTTTGAGACATGGTAACAGTTTTGTTCATTCTCTTAGGAAAACAATGAAAGTTGTTGGCTGACCACTGAACCCTTTTCCATGGAAAATTTTTTCCTCGTAGTAAGGTAATATTCTTGAATAAAAGATAGAAAGAAAGAAGAAAATAAATTTAATAAAAAGAGAAAAGAAAAAAATCAAAATCAAATTTACCAGCTTGACCTGGAGCAGCTAAAACTTGTTTTCCTGCTTGAGTGAGAATATGCGGACCAGCTTGTTGAAATATACCTGATTTATTTGCGACGACCTGAATAGCGCCACCTGGATTGACCCCCAAATTGGACGGCATTATGATCTGACCATTTTGTGGGTTATAGAACTGTGGTAGGTATGCTGCATTCTGCAGTGGTTGCTGCTGAATCACTTGAACCTAAAACAAAAATTTTGTTAAATTCAAATGAAAACTTATCATTATGGGCTTCATTTCTACTTGGACTGGAGAAAAATGGCGATACATTTTGATAATTCATGATCAATTAAGTGAAGAATTGAGATTTTGCTGTTATTTAGCCAGTTCATAGTCTTAGCAGAAGCCCAAAAAAATTGGGTTTAAAAAATAATGAGCCTATGGATGATGAATGAACCTAAAAACACCTAAGGACCTTCTATGGCTCACAAGTTATGCGCACTTATAAAAACAGGAAAAATAAAAAGTCAATTCGTCACTGGCACTCTTGGAGTGACCAACTCCAAGATACCTATTCTTATATCATTGATAAAAGTTGAAAACTATTATGCTAAGAAGGACCGTTACGGTAGTTTCATATTTGCACGGAAAGAAGTAATCACGATCTTGACAGTGCTGCAAGTGGATTCAAGGTCCTACCTTCTTTTCTTGTCGTAGTTACAATGTTACGTTTGTGGTGACAATGAGTTCGGTCCTAATGTTGTAACGACGATGCTGACTGTAACAGCATAGTTACTGAGACCGAAACAATCGTCACCACAAAAGTAACATTATAGGTCGATTAGAAAAGAAGATAAGACCTGGCATCTACAATTAGAATCGTGAAAGAAACGATTCTATTTTCTCTGTGTAAAGCAAGGTAAGCAATCTCTCCTGAAAAGGACGGAACAAATTTTTGTTTGCAATTTAAGCTTAAACAGGTAAAAAAAAAAATTACTTAAGTGTGCTTTCTCTTTCTATTCTTATGTTACGCATACACAATTGCGAGAAACTTGAAAATCACTGCTAGATCCATCACCCCAAGCAGAGAAAAAATGTGCGAACATTGAGCTTCAAAGCTAAATAATTTCCCATTAGAAAGAGGTATTTTTGAATGATTCAAGCTTGATAAAAGTTATAGAAGACTCATTCTGAGCTGGAGTAGCTCAACACTATCTCACTTAAGCTGGATACCATAAATAAGTAAAATATACAGTCAGTTGTTAGTGTCCTTCGAGAAGGCTACTTGTATCGGAAGGTATTGTGTATGTGTACGTACTTGAACCGGCATCGACCCCAGAGGCCCTTGCAGCTGCTGGCCTTGGATTTGCAGCGGTTGTTGCTGCTGAAGCTGCTGCTGTTGTAATTGTTGTTGGGGCTGAAGTTGTTGCTGTTGCTGCATTTGCTGCGGCTGCTGTTGTATCTGCTGCTGCTGCTGCTGCAACTGTTGTTGCTGCATCTGCTGTGGTTGCTGTTGCTGTTGCATCTGTTGTTGCTGCTGCATTTGTTGCTGCATTTGCTGCTGAGGCTGCTGCTGCTGCATTGTAGACTGCATCTGCTGCTGCAAAGAGTTTTGTTGGGCCTGCTGCTGTACTTGCATGGCTTGCTGCTGCATTTGTTGGTTTTGCTGCTGTTGCATTTGTGACTGCTGTTGCATTTGTTGTTGCTGTGGTTGCTGCTGCATGACTTGAGTTTGACCACTCTGGTCTTGCATTTTAGCAAGCTCTAGTCAGACCTGCAACAAAAAATATTAAATATAAATTTCAAGACATCAGATGAAAACGAGAAGAAATTCAAAAAACATCGCACAAATATGCTGACCTAGCACAACATTAACAGACTATCAGATGCAATCAAAACTATGGCTCAAATGGAATAGTTAATTTCTGAGCGTCTAAGAGGAAGGTAAGAAAAAGAAAACAAAAAGAGGAAAAGAGGGAGGGGGCAAGCCCTTAACGCGAGGCTTGAACTCTTCAGGAAAAGAGCGGAGATATGGAAAAAGAAGAGGAGAGGGACAAGCAGGAGCATAAAGAGCGGGTGGATGAACACGAATTTGAAGCAGAAAAAGAGAAGAGAGGGGACCAAAGTGAAAGAGATATACGAAGAAATGACCGAAGGCAAATAAAAGAGAGAAACAGGGTGAAGAAAGAAAGGGAAGAAACAGATACAGAGGGAGAGGAAAGAAAGTCGAAGTGGGAAAAAGATACAGGAAAAGGGGGACGGAGGAATAGTTGGGATGATGGGATCGAAGGGGAAGAGCGAAAGCCGATAAAGGGCAAATAATTAATATCGATCGCGAAACTACGGTGCAGGACATGAGTTATTGGTCCGTATCTCTTATTCGGGATGCTCAGCGGAAGAGGGATGCGAGGCCAGGCCCCAGGAGCGGCTCCGTCAAGTTGAATAACCGGATTTTATCGAGACCCCCGCCCTCTCCCGCTTCGCCCGCCAGTGCATTGCCACCTTCCTATCTTCCTGGCAATCGGCGTCCGATCTTTTGCCGGAATCACACGCTCAAGAGGCGAATTTTATTTGAAAGCCCTGCATAGACGATCCAATTCCGAACCAATTCCGATCAAAGTAGACATGCTGATGACTGGTGGTCACCATCTACCATCAAATTTTGACGGGCCGCACTTTTTTGTTCAAAGTAAGATCAGACCAGAGTACCACCATCCATCATTTCCTGCCACAGGAAACATTACTGCCAGGTTTTCATTTTAAAATGAAGCAAATTAATGAGTTTCAGACTGATGACTCCCGACACTTTGATGCTACTTTGATCGGAATTGGTTCGGGAATTTGATCGTCTATTGAGGCCTTAAGTCCCGAGCCTCTTTGAGAAGTTTTGTCCCGGTTTCTCTCATCAATCACCAACACCAGTGGACACCGCTGTTACCAGATTCGACCAATCAGGACGTGAAGCGGGCGCGTTTGAACGTGCTTTTTGTGGCGGGGGATCTATCGTTTCCGTTAACCAATCGCGCGGGGGACACATTTTTATCATTTTTAAGCGGGGGCGAGATGGCGCCCATGCCCGTGTTTATCTATCGAGATATCGATTCATTCTCGACGTTGCCAAGTGCTACTTTACTGATGTTTTGAGATAGACAAGAAATATTGTTTATTTCTCTGGTTATCTTGTTTTCTTAGCCTCTGCACAACCTCGAGTACCGTGCTTATAAGTGATAGTAATGTCTCCCACCCGCGAAAGGTTAACGGAAAGGAACCCACACAGATCCGTTGGTTTTCGATAGGTCGAATCTTATTTCGTACCACCTCGCGTGGTGGTACCAAATCAGGTACCAACGTTGCGATTCGTTAGTCACCGAATCGGAGGTCCCGAACTCAAATAGAGTGATAGCTCGGAGGTTCGGGCTCAAAAGTTGTACCGAACCTCTAAATAAAGGTAGCTTTGTAGGAGCTGAATGTGGCGAGAATGTGGCAGTCATCGGCCCGATGCCTGAATTTAGCGCGTGTCGCGCAAAATTCAGTAACGAGGCTCAGCGACCATCGGATGGTGTCGGATTTGTCTAAACTATTCGAATAGATTCGATACTTTGGATGAAAATAACTCGAATTTACGACATTTCAGCCGTTGAACGATGACTGTAGACTTCTATATTCAGCTGCCAAATCCAGCGTGGGATTCCGGCGTTTCTTCACGTATGTGCTGCCTGTTCAAGGAGAAACGCTTTATCCAAAATTGGACGTCGCCGAACTGTACACAGTAAAATTTTAATTATTGGGGAAGTGAGGAAAATGTCCGACATCTTAAATTAGGTTGCGAGCTAAATTATCTCAAAAAAAATTGGATGAAAAATACTCTCAAGTTACCCTGAAAATCCGCATTTCATAAAAAGGAAATGCGAAGAATAGAAATCAAAAATCTAATTAGCCGTTAAGTGTTTGCTACGATTGTGCAACTGTTCTCTCGTTAAACAAGAACGCAGTGGCCTGAGAACAACGACTTGTATCATGAAAATATCATCAAAATTGAAAGAACTTTTTCCGATGAACAGTCCTTTTAGTGGAAGGATTTCGATGGCCGAAGTTCAAAACCACGTATCTCCGCTACGACGTTGTAGGCTTCGAATCATAATTATACTTTTTGCTTGGAAAAACTAGTCAACGTAACTTCATGAAAACCTTGATTTTTTCTCCTCTGTTAACAGAATATTCGATATGAATTCGAGCTTCAATGGTGACTTTTTTTCGTCGAATATAAAAAAGGAACGGAAATTGTGAAACGCCGCGATGAAGATACCTGGTTTCGCACTTCGGCCATCGATCTCAGTTCAGGGTGTCTACTAAAACAGGCTGGTCAAAAATAAGTCCTTTTACAGTGCTTTTTCAGTACCTTCTCAAGAAATTCAGTACCTTTTCCAACAGAAAAATTCCGTGCTTTTTCAGTGCCTCCATTCGACGAAATTAAAAAAATTTAAAATTGCGACAAAAAGGACAAAAAATTGAAAAAATTCCGGACCTTTTGGCGGAATTTCCGCACTTTTTCAGTACTTCCGGACCGCCCTTAAAAATCAGTACTATTTCCGGAAATTCCGGACTTGTAGACACCCTGCAGTTCTCTTGCAGCACAACGAGAATCAAAACGCACGATTTTAGCAACACCCCGGATTTTAAATTCCCTCTCTTCAATTTTCCTCGGTTTCTTACTCATAAACCTGCCCACCCGGGATCTGACAGCAAACCGAAATAACTCCGGGGGTTCTCGGCGAGAAAAACGAGTCAAAATGGTGAGCAGAGATTGGGCCGGACCCGCGCGGCGCCGGGGGCAGCACGCAACCGCGGCGAGCGACAGAAAAGGGGTGGGATAGGGCAGGGGGGCGATGACGCCGAGAGGTCACCCCCGACCCCCGACGCCACGCCGCGATTGGCAACCGCGGTCCGACGATTTTCGACTAGTTCCCGGCGGGGAGGGGGCGGGGGACGGCCAACCGCGGCGGGGAATCCGTCCTATTCGAGGGGGCTCGTCCCACCCTCGACGTCGACGGTCGCGAAGAGGGGGGGGAGCGAGAGAGGAGAACGTCGTCCTCGTCGTTGTGCGCGGGGTTCGGCGTTCGCGACTCGCCGCGCGCCAATCCACTCGGCGGGGCCCCCGCGAGTCACGAATCGTGTGCGCCGAAGCCGGGCTCCTGGCGCCGGGGAGAGCGATTACCAGCGCGGGATAATTATCGGTCGATCCCCCCACCACCGCCGCCGTCGTCGTCCGTGTGATGAATGGCCGCTCTGTGACGTCACGCCGCGCGCGCACGGCTGCGGGAAAAATTCGGGATCCCGACGACGGCCCGACCGGATACGCCGCAGCGAAGCCTGCTCGCTATTGACTGTCGACCGGTATCTGAACACGCCTTTCGTCGCGGACACGAATTTCACGTGGAGGAAATACGGGAGGCAGTGGCGAGAGGAGGATGGAACTGGGAACTCGTGTGCGTCACAAGGCGTTGCGTTATTTGGACTGCATTTTGCAATTAGGAACTATAAAGTCTGGCTCGGTTTAAAAACAACGTATGTGCCATTAGTTTCCCTACGCACATAAGTGATTTTTTCAGATGAGCCAGAATTTATAGTTCCAAATTGTAAAATGCAGTCCCTTTATACCTTGGAGCCTTCTCGAAATGGAGCTCTTGCACGTGTCAGGAATTTGCAATTTAAATATTTTTTCCCGGGTAAATTTTCGCGAGAAACACCACTGGTTTTTTCTGAGATCAACTCCAAAGCTCAAAAAAACGCTCTCTAAGTTCGGGCCGTAATGGGTTAAACTCCAGAGGACAAGGAAGACCAGGCAGGAAGAAAATACTTCAGCAGGGTTGCCACTTTGTTTGAGGACTCCATAGTTGGAACCACAGCAACCCTGCTAATGCATTGGTCCCCTTTATCTGTGCATGGAGGGTTTGATTGGATATAGAGGTGGATACTTGAAGTAGCGTAAGATATCCCCTCCAATACGGCCTCAACTTTGAGAGCTTTCTTCGAGCTTGGGAGATAGTTTCGGAGAAAACCAGTGGCACCGTCGTATTTCTCGCGAAATTTTACGTGAGAACGAGTACTTGAATCGCGTATATCCCCCACACATGCAAGAGCCACAGTTTGCGCGAGATCCAATCGTGAGGATGGTTTTTCCTGAAATATACCACCAAGCTCCCAAATCCCTCTGGGTAGAAGCTGTGACGGAAGGGATCCCCTACGTTATAAGAAAGTCCACGTCTAGTTCCAGTCACACTCTCCTTGCACACAGATAGGGAGCGAATACATTAGCAGGATTGCCATTTGGTGTGGGGACTCCAAAGCTATGGCCATACGGTATCCACGTTAACGTATGAGCGTTGACTGGGCGAAGGGACGTACTTAGGGGATCTCTCCCTGAAAGGTCTAAACTAAACTTTGAGAGCTTTTTTGAGCTTGGGAGTTCCTTTTATAGAAAACTAGTAGGGATAGTAAAAGACGTAGGAAGTTAACGTAACTAAATTGAAAGATTTATTTACCATTGACTCGCTTTAGGACTCGACTCGAATACATATCGAAAGCAAGCTACTGACTTGTTTTGTAATTTTTGCGCTTGATCAGCGTGTCCTAGGGTTCGTTAAAAAGAGGAAGACAGGAGAACAAACACTTAAAAGAGGCAATTGAATAAAGGCCCAAGCTGAAGGCGCTTTCGTAACGTAAGTGATTCTGAGGCGTGAAAACGTTGAATCGTTGTAACGTCGAAAGGTGGAG